GTATGTGTTACCGCTATTGGATGCTGGGTGATGGCTTTCCTACCATCTTTGCCGTTTTACCGATGGTAAGCTGGGTTGGCGAAAGACGTTGGCAAGAGAGTGTGGTCGATGACTGACTGCATTTCAGTCTGGTTCTCCTCACACACATTTCCAGTTTTGTTTATGAAGAAATCCAAGCTCTGTGAACTCTCGGTCGTCACATTCCTGCACAGTTTCTTTTCGCTCGTCGTCCAGAGAGCATCGCGCGCGTCCGGTGTGATTAATTTAAAAGGTTTTTTTGATGCATGACAGAGTTTTGATTGTGCGACGTGTGGTTCTTGAGTGAGTGCGCGGGAGAAATTGGTGTAAGAGATTTTGAGGAGAAAAGTCGAGGAAAGTCCGTGTGATCGTGCGTGAAATCCGCATGAGCGTTGATATTCGCGGTCAAAGCTGACGTCCATGTAGATTCAACATCGACACTTCCAACGGTAAGGTTCTCTCGATGGCAAAGAGAAAATCCAGAGTGCGATCAGTGCGACTTGTGAGGCGAGAGAGCCTCACAAGAGGAAGATCAAGTACCTCTAATCCATGTGCGGTGAGGTGGAAATCATTGGGCATTCATGGAAGAATCTTGTTGATTTTCACGAGAACACCGAAAAAGTGTTTCTCGCCTGGCAATTGTGTGATGCGTCTCGAAATATTCCTTCTGCCAAAGAGAAGAGCTCAGAGAAAAGAGCGCCAACAGTCCAAAGACTTGAAGTGTTGGAATGTATAACTGTTCATTATTCAACATCTTGAAACGCACAAGATATAAAATGCGAATTATAAATGTTTACATTCATTGGGCGACTCCTCGGAGATTATGTGCATGTGTTTAGGGTTAACAGAAAAGAGGTCCATGGCGTGTTTGCGGGAAAATACATAAATGACCAGTGATATAAAAAGCAACAAATTCCTGCGTCAAAGACCCCAAAGAGGAGTGAGAGAAAACTACGATGAAAATATCAATAGTGCAGAGAGTTATTGGGAAATGAAGTGAATATTAATTATCCTCTCTATATTGCTTCTCTTACACAATTCACATCTATTTTGTCAGAGAGACTTGCGCTTAGAGGCCTCTCTTTCTTTTTTTTAATCAACCGACAGACCAATGACATTTTTATCGTTGGATAGAAAATGCGGAATGAAGTGTCTCCGCGAGGCAGAATTGAGGACACGCGAGATCTTAATGTGACATTCTAATTCAAAGAGCTCAATCTATTCTCGATGGGCTTTGAGGCGCTCACACACAACCTGTTTTCAGCTATATGTATGCTGAAATTTCCATACAAAATATGATAGAGATCGCCATTGGATTGCCCATATTGATGGGTTGAGAGACTTTGAGGTATTCACAGTGTGTCTGCGCGCGGAAGATTTATTCGCAAACCATCCCATGGCATTGAGGCGACGTGTGGTGGACAAACAATTGTTATTTAAACATCAACTGGTATTTATACTGGTGCAGTGGTTTTTTTTTTACATATTCAACTTTTATTTAAAAGGTGTTTTCTGCACTCAGAGAAATGGCAACTCCGCCAGTGCATTTGCTATCATGATTATATATTTTGTGGTGAAAAGGAAAAGCCAAAAATAGTCGTCAACGAGTTTCTCACCTTTTGTCGCGATCCAGGGAGTGGATTTTAAATTTATTCAACAGTGCAAATTTTTACTGTTACCTCTTTTTCAAAGGCCATTCATATGGATTTTCGTCAATGCTTAAGAACTTGTGTGGAATTTGGGTGAAAAAAAAAAGAAAAATGAGAGGAACATCGCATGCATTCTGCCTTAATTTCAACCTAATTCGATGTGGAAGATATTCTTCAAAGTCTAATCCTTTGATCGAAATTAAGCATTAAGAGCATCTTACGGTTTTAGCGCCATTAATAAAACTTGTGACTTTTTTTTCGTTGGTTTTCCTGATCAAAATATGTTGGCTAATCGGATTTGCAATAATTGGGAAATTATGTTTATTTATTGCAAATCTTCAAAAATCTCGAGTGACAAGAAGAAAAAAGGCGAATAGAATATGTTCGTCGAATACTAATTTTTTTTTAGGCAAGAAACATGAGAAACCGCTGATTTCGCTCGACAAGTCTTTTTCTGAGTGTCGTCTGACATTGAGAAAGCATTTTGTGGTGGTCTAAATGTTGACGAGCAAAGAAAAATGTTAGTGGAATATTTCGTAATACGAGGAAGCGCATGATTACACCTGATTATGTACAAAGTAGTATACTTAGCAATGAAAGTTACCATATGAGATTTATGATGGTGTATCTCCTGCATAATTACAAAAATACCGTTTTGAGCTAATCAAGTGCAAAATGGGTGTTGCCACTTGCCATCGAGAGAGTCTAAGAAAATGGGAGCAAATGTGTAGAACTCATTTTACTGCAATGAATGTCAATGTTACCGATTTACGCGTTTAATGTATGTAATTCAATTGGTGTGCTCGCAACTTTGTGTGTTTCTTCACTTTATTTTTTTTTAGGTAAAAGGAACTTAAGTGAGAGCGAGAACTGGAAATCTTATCGTTCCACTAACACTGAAAACCTTTTTTTGCCTTATTTACACTTGCCATTTTATCAGGAGTGAAGATATATAAAGCGGTGAATATTTTTTTCATTTTTTTTTCGAAGGAATTTAGCATTTTTATTAATGAGGAAATAAAGCTTTCCTTTTCCATTCGCAATGCAAAGTGGATAAAGTTGTCAAAGTGAATACGACAAAAAGAAAAAATCGACAGCAATTTTAATATGTTTCTTTCACTCGTCATTTAGCTGAAGGAAATGCTGGAATTTGTGCAGACAATGACTGTGTTTATCAGCGATACAAATAATGCATTGTTATTGAGCATTGGGTGTTTTGCATAGAGTGCCAGAGCTCGATGGCCGGACTGAAAATTGAGTGAAACTGTATCAAATTGCTTCTTATAAGATGTGGCAGTGTGTTTCCAAAGACTGTAATTTAAATAGTCAATTAGAAATGGCTGATAAATCACCGTTATTTATTGAAATTTTCTAAAAATTCGATAGAAATTTCTGCATGAATATTCGACAGCGAAAAGAAAAATGGATGCTTTTTCTTCCTTGCACACTTTAAACCAAAAAAAAATGATAAAATCGAGTCGCCAGCGATGAAATGAAAGAGTAAATATTTGAATTGATATTTCTTCTAACTTGGTGTGTATTTAGCAAATTAAAATTCTGCACACATTATTAGCCATCGACGAGAGTGCGAGAATCCAAAAGGCCGCAATTTAATTTCATTGAACAATATAAGTGAGGGACTGGAAAAAAAAATCTTTCTTTTTTCGCCCATATTCGAGAGACTGATACATTTACAAACACTCCACGTATCGGGTTCAATTTGTATGAAATGGCCATTGTTGAGGAGGGAATTTAAAAGTTTGGGATTTTCTGAAGGTTTTCCACTCTATTCATCGTTCATTAACATGAAACCATCTCGCTAAGTACGTGTTTGCCAGCTATTACAAAGAAATTTCAACACCCTCTTATCATGGCCTCTTGGCAGCGCATCGCGCGCGTCTTTTTTTTTGTCTTCTTAAGGCATAGAGGAACTCTGAAACTATGCCCGTTTAATGAATTCAGCACTACATGAAATTAATTTGAGAGATGCATTTAATTGAATTAAGCATAACTTTCACCTTTCATTAGTTTGTCCACGGGATTTGCTCATCCAATGCGTGGTGTGATGTGAGAAACTGAGAGTGAGGTGAAAAACGCAGGTGGAATTTATGCACCGAAAACCCACCTTTTGATAATGACTCCCAGAAATGATAGTGAAAAGTCTCTTTCTTTTTATTGTTCCCCCATCGAGACGATGTTTTGTAATCAGAGAGACACTCAACTTGGATTGAATTTCCATATCTTGTAGTTTTGTGCCTCCAATGTTGAGATGGAAAAGCTATTCATCTCAGAGTCATCATCTCAATAATAATGAAACTTTTTATAGTATCTTGAAAATCTTATATGGCCCTACTAATGGGCATAGTTTATAGTGATTGCCATTTGGCATTTTATCGCGCACGCGGTGATATTAAGTGGCGTTATCAGTGATGAAATATCTCTCACTCTCTCGACGGATGAGACAATTGAAAATCTCCATCATCTCCAATATAAATTCCATACTTTATTGCCTCACTGAATAATTCCTGTTGTTTTGTTGACAATCAACGAATCAAAATAGAGTGTTGATGCAATTGTTGATCATCACAGCTGCATTTTGAGAGAATGATATTTGTGTTTGGGTTCAACAATATGAGATCACGGGATGACAAGCAATGCAATTGAAATCAAATTGCGCTTCATACACACTCTTCACACCTAAGCCAAACCGACAAAACTGTGAAGAATTCAGTTGTGACATAAAGAAATAAATGTGATAGAGAGAATATCGAAAAAACATTTATAGATTAATTGACTGATAATGCTTCAATAGCTGTGGAGAACTGAATTAATGCTCTCTCAAGTGATTAGTCTAACAGGACTTGAATATCTTACAATAAAATTACCTTTTTTGTGTAATGATTTTCTAATAGAGTTCATTTCCCTTTTTTCGCCTAAAGAGCCAATCACATTTTCAGCGTGTTCGTGAAATTATGCTTTTTACTGAAGCTTATTTTCTACGGTGCGTGTAAAATGGGTGTTGAAGTGAATCTTTGTTATGTCGATGAAGGTTTTGGGGCTGAATGTTGGCGATTGGCGTGTGATTTCTTGGAATTGATAAAATCCACGACAAATATAGAATTCTGTGCTTAAACATGCGTCTTTTTTTGCCTCATGCACTCATGATGGTTGAAAGTGAGATTGAAGCACGCGCTCTGTGAGGAAAAAACACAATTTCACGAGAGATTCCACAATATGAATGGCAATTGATAAGCCCACCACACACAAAAGTGGATTAGAAGCAATGAAAGTTTTCCAATATTCATACTTTCTCTCGTTTGTAATTTCAGGTCGTCGGTTGGAAAGGTAAATTTGTCAATTGCAGTCACGGCAATTGGACACCGGCAGCATCGCGATGTTGGGCAAGATGGGCTCCTCGGCTCAGGAGGGTGGTAAGAGGTGGTCAGACAGTGAGCCACTATTGCCATTTCTGCAGCGCATCAATCTCTTTGGTCACTTCCACATCGCCACGCGCAGAAGTACAATCTATCCGGTGGACGAGAGGCGCAACAAGACCCTCGGATCGCTGGGCGAGAGCAGGAGTGTGCAGAGTCTGAAGCAGTTCTGGAACAGTCAGATTCTGTCGCGCGGAGCGCGCAGTGACGAGGAGATCGGACGATCGAGTGGGGATTTGTCGGTGGGCCAGAAGGGCTCCACATTCCGTCCCGTGGACAATTTCAACAAGTACAAGACGGCCTCGACGGTGCAGCAGAAGAGGCAGACAATAGACTCGGCGTATCTGGCCAGGCCCTCCATTGCATTCGAGCGACTGCCGCAGAGCGGAGCGCCCGGCGCAAAGATCCACTGGGCGCGACGCGAGGAGATCTTCGAGGCGCGGCGCGTGAAGATGGCCAGCAACACCACCACAGTCATGATCGGCGGCGATGCGGGTGAGAGCGATAAGGAGAATTGCCTGGGGGAGGCCAGTGATAAGAAAGATAAGGCTGAGAGTCGCAGCAATAACAGCCTCAGCGGCTCGAGTGCGTCGTTGGCCACCACAGTCGAGTCCAGTCCGCGAAAGAGTGCATGTCGGAAGGTGAGCTTCAAGACGCACAGTGGCCAGAGCCACCACATCCGCAAGATGGCCATGGGCGGGAGCAAAGTGGCCGCGCTCACGCACAGATTCAATCAGCTCATCCAGCAGGACAGCGGCATTCTCGAGGAGGTGAAGAAGAAGGGTGTTGTGGTGCATCGGGTGGCGGGACATGTGTACAAAATCCGCGAGGAGTCCATCTCGCGGAAGGGCAGTGTGAGGAGTGCGGAAGTGGCTGAGGAGAAGAGCCCGCGAAAAGTGGTGCCCAGACGGAAGGCGAGTGTTAGTCGGAAGGGCAGCAGTCGCATTGACACGCCGAGTGGGAGTGTTAGGGCGACAATAAAGCTCTTCGAGGCGCCCTCGCGGAGTGAAGATGAGTTGCCGGAGGATGCCAGAAAGAGCACAAAGCCCAAGGTGCCGGATAAAAGTGAACAAGTGCTCCTGCGAACGCGAGAAATTCAGCGGAAGCGTTTAAAAATACCAGCCGACGAGAAGGTAATTTGCATTAGTTTATTGGAATGTCTACAGGACAAGTGCTGATTGGCTTTTTCCTCGCTCATTTCAGATAACTGCCGATGAGGAGGAGGAGAAGGCGGGTGAGGAGAGTGATGAGCATGTGCCAAAGGATCGTGCAATTGTGAGGAAAATTGATGAGCTGGATGAGATCGAGGAACTGGTCGAGGAGAAACCGCCACTAAATTTGTCGGTTGTCGGAAAAAGTGAAAATGATGTTGATGTACCTGAAGCGGTGGCTCCTCAGCAGACACCTGTGACCAAACTGACCACATGCACGCTGCCCAAGAGCAAGGAGAAATCTGTGTATGGGCGAATTTATGAAAAGATCAAGTTCAAGTCGTCTTTCCTGTACACAAAGAAGCCACGAGATCAGCCACTCTCCACCAGTCATGGGAGTCTGTTTGTGGACAAGAGTCCGGATCGGAAGATTGTGGAGGCGATCTGTTGTGTGAATGAGAAGATTGAGCATCTCTCCAAGAGCACAACGGATCTTCCGCCCTTGGACGCGGCCACGGATTTGCCTGAGATCAAGCCAAATGACTCGTTTCTGTTCCGGACGACGTCGAAGAACAGCTTTGGGGACTTGATGATGGATCCACTGACTGAGGAGGAGTCCGTCGAAGCGATAAATCATCATCTGATCAACCGAACCCAGTCACTGGATGAGTCAATATTCCCTCAGGTGCTTAGCATGCCGAATCACTCGACGCCGTTCGAGGAGAGGCCCTACAAAGCCATCATCGGCGAGGCGGATGAGCTCATTCGGAAGATCTCCTCCACGTATGGGAGCTGTGATAAGACCGAGGATGACTATGAGATCATAAATCCGCCCAAGGAGGCACTCTACCAGACGCTCTCGGAAGTGCGCTCGGGCGCCGAGAGTGTCAACAGCTACGAGTCCTTTGACAACTACGAGGCCATCGATGAGCTGCGGAAGGAGGTGTCAGCCATAGACTCGGGCTACGAAGTGTGCTCTCCGCCGGAGCCGCCGCCACCGCGAAAGCCCGATGATCACAGCAAGAAACTGCCCAAGGAGCCTCCAGTGCCGCAGCGAAATCCACCCCAAAGTGTCTTCATGGGCGCCACAGAGAATATCTACGACACCATCAAGAATGGCGACTCCACACCATCCACCCTCAACGGCTACGAGAGCATCAATTCTGGCCGGCCAGACTTCCTGCGACTCAGCCATTTGCACATGCTGAGACACTCGGACTCGGTGTCGACGCTGTCGTCGGATCACAAGACCAACAGTCTCTACGGCACCTCACTCAACGGCCACCCCATCCGGCAGCCGCCGAGCGAAGGCAGCAGCGAGAACAGCGACGAGTGGATTGACATCTCGGACAGCGAGGAGGTCACCAAGCACAATTTCATCGTGTAAGTACAGCCATTGTGTTCCCTCTCCATGATAAGACAGTTCCTGCGATGAATTGAATAGTGTTATCTAGCAAATAACTCGATGCGCGTAATTGCAATAATTGAAATTATGTGATAAGGTTGATAAGTTTCATGGTGCTGAAGACATTTTGTGGGATTCTGTTGGCACATGCAAGAAAAATTCCCGTTTAGGGCAGAATTATTAAAATTTCACAAGCTTTTGAGTCACTGGTTTGTGATTCATTCCAAGATATTTTAGTCTTTTCCACCGGAACATTGAACATTTGAATACATTTAATAATGCGTTTTGTTTATAGTCTCACTGTTGAAATTAAGCACTTCTTTAATCTCAAGATTTTCTCTCTTTTCAAAGGGAAAAGCTCTTCATATTTGATAACAGTGAGATTTGTGCGTTGGATTTCATCTGAATTGATTATTATCGGTTTTCTTCGAATTGATTCATGTGCCTTTATTTGGGTTTATTATCATTCTCCGGCCGTTTTTCTCATAATCATGTCGCAAACACATAATATATTGTCCGCGATGTGAGATAAGCAATTGCTTATCACTGAAATAGTGATGTTATAATCAAATTATGACTTCTTTTGCAGGATTCGAGAGCGAACAAAGTGCCACAGAAGTCCTGACTGGAGTCGAAAGGTTCGAGACCATCGGATTCAGCAGCAAGAAGACATCTTCGATGGTGAGTATCTTTTGATTTTAATTCTCCCTGCGGAGCGTCGTTCGACAGATGAAGCGAAATGAGTAAATTGGTGTAATCTCGCGCAGTGGAGATTCCACACGAAGGCACGATGGATGGTAAATTGTATACCTTTCCACCGGAGGTGAATCACCACCACAAATGGCTCCCCTCCGAACACACAGACAAGTTTCCCTTGCGGCCCAAAGTGACTCACTCTCTGGCATCATGTAATTATGCAATTCCTCCCTTTTTTGCGCTCCCGCGAGCCCTGCAATTGCAATCGCGCGAGATCAGTGACCAATTGAGAATGCTGAGAATGTATCTGGTGGCCAATCTTTCATCTCGCGAGTGGGCATAAATCATGTGTGCTGTTGTGTCCCTCTTTTGTGTGCGATATTCTTGCGAGAATTTTTATTGTTCCACTGTTAGCACGATTCCTCTATTTGTTCTATCTGCACAGGCACACATTCCATGGCAAAGGCGCGATTAGAGAGACAAAACAGGCACACACATTCGACTCTCTTTTTTCTTCCCACCCACAGAACTTTGTGCGGCGACTGATACAGTGGTTATTTCCTTTTGCGCAGAAATCTTGCTGCTCTAATTTGCTGTGTGCTGTGGAAGAAGTTCTGCAGCTGCTTTCATCCTCCATCGTCTTCCACTCTGTGTGTTTGTGTAGACATGCTGCAAAATTGTGATAATTGCCTGCCCGACTGACCACACAGCATTCCTCACAGATCGTTACAATGGGGCGCTTGACAAATTATAGTTTATTTCGCATCATCAACGATTTTATTCAACACACGACGCTGTCTTTTGCTCTTAACGCTCTTAACCTTGTTAGTGCGTTCTAGATACCTAAAAAATAATATTCTGCACTCAAGCAATGTGCTCACTTTAGAGTGAATTCTTCAGCGTTTCCCACAAAACTTCCCCATGAATTGCATTCTGTGGCTATCAGTCTTCCAATCCATTTTGCCTGGGGAGCAGAAAAACTTATGATTAGACAAAAGAAACCACCGTTTCCTCGTTTTTCACACTATTTCTTCCACTCTGTCTCTCTCCTCGATCTCTTTTCACCACCTGACAAGCGATTTCAAATTTCAACTGGTTGTTTTGTATGGAAATGAAAAAGAAAAATGACGACAATGGATTTTCTGAGCATAAACTTGTGGCAAATGGAGTTCAAATTCAATTAGTATGTCTATGTTCATTTATGCACTTGGTCACGAGTTCTTTTTCTTTTCGAGAAATTGTATCACTTTATTTGAACAAAGTGGTTCAAAGACCCGCTGAGACAGTGACAAAGAGAGTGTCTTTTTCACGAGGAAAGCAGCAATATTCGCGTGGGTGTTAATTTGACTCAATATATGCCTTTTTTTATGTATAAGAGAATTGTGTAAAGTATAGATGGAATCCGTTTTCAATGGCACAGGCTGACAGAAACGGTAAAATGTGAGAAAGAAAATGGTTTTATTTTAAAATGTAGGACATTCTTCCAAGAGAGTGAGATTTTCAGTGTTGAAAATTGCGCTTCTTAACGAGAAATCAGTCTGCATTCAGGCGGATTGGATTGAGGAGTGATTTTTTGAAAGTTTACATGAAAAACCTTCACTGCAAACGGGCGGAAGAAATTGTCAAGGAATTATTGCTTTATTTACTCAATACAAGTACAAATAGAAAATTTCTCTCTCTCTCACTGGCCGAATAAATAGTCTATTTTCTGCAGCCAAATAATCACTTTTATTTCTTCGTGTATTTATTTATTTTTTTGGCGTGGTCAACGCTAAATTGTTGCCCAGAGAAGTTTGTTAATGAGAAGGCTTTTCTCAAAATTACATGTTTTATAAGTGGTCCTAATTGTGTAATTGGAAAAATTTGTACATCAATTCATATGTTTGATTTCTGTGAAATCCCATAATTTGCGTGAAAAATTTTTTGGAATCATGCCGTCCGTAAAAAATTGATAGTTCAATTCACGTTTAACTTTCCAAGTGCTTTCAATCTCTTAAGCGGACTGTTTTTTTTGTGATACAGTTTAATTCCCAACCCAAGTGATAATTTGACATGATGAGAGATCATCACTTTCTGCAAAAGAGCAGATAGTAATCGTCAAGTGATCGCGATGTGTAATTTACTTATCATGGTTGTGATTTGAGGCTTTTTCCCATGATTTGTAGAGACAATTTTGGCTCTGTGATTATCTCAAAAACTCTACTTCACTTGGCTTTAAGTATAAATGACAGGCATAAAGTTATGTCCTTGGCTAATTTGAGAGATTTTTAGTGCTTTTAAAAATTATGATTCTTTGATTTATGACCAAGATGAGTGATTTCACTGCATTCACATATTTTCATGAGGTAATTTGTCCTAAATTCCATTTGTGTTCTCAAAATGAAGCTACAATCTTATCTTCCAGGGCAAGATAACACAGATTTCCAATAGATTGTCGATGTTAAGTGGGTGAATAGTGTGTGATAAAGAGCCACTTCTTTTGCCACTAAAGTGTCTGTGATGAATTGCATTCACACATTTTGCGAAATATCACACAGAGTCACGATGTTATGATGTTGTGAACAATGTCAATAATTTCACTCATTTGCTCAATTATAATTGTATGAGACGATGGTTCATGAAGGATCATCGCTCAATTGACATTTTTATAGGAAATGAAAGCGATCGAGAAAGTCTTTTTTTTCTGCCATACAAAAGCATCATCTCTGGTGTTTATATTGAGAGTTATAGTTTATGTGGAGATGAGGCAAAAATGCTATAAAATGTGTATGTTTTTGCTTTCAAGAAGAACTCCATCATCACTCCCGAGGCGAATCATTTTAATGACTGTATGTATTTCTTTGTATACCGCATTGTCTGCGTGGAGGTTGTTTGTGGCGGAGTTTACAATCCCTGACCATTCTGACATTAATGCCGAGGTGTGTTGGCGCGCGAATGTGTTGCTATGTACATTGGCGTATACACATGGAAATATCACAATGAATGCATGATACACAATGGTATAATTGTTGAGCAACCAACTGGTTGAACACCCGTGGATTGGCCGCTGTGTTGCCCCTCCGCACTGGGCCCCATTTCAGCCGTGTTTTTTTTCAGTTTGTAATCGAAAGTCGCGACTCGCGGTACCCATTTTGGCCATCTCTCTCGTGTGGAATTATTGTCTCTTCAAATGGAGGTGCAATAAATTTTGTGAGATAAATCTCCTCTGGGCAGTGCATTGAAAATGTGTGCAATAGTTTGGCGATTTGGGTGTGAGAATTGTCAGTGTTTTGCTCGAAAATGATACGCGACGCATTTTAAATTGGGAGAAAATTGATTTTATTGGGTGAAATTTAAATAAAAGTGAATGTCACTTTTTACTGCATTTCACCAATTTTCCTTTTTACTCAGACAATTTTTCATCCGAGACATTCTTCACCTGTCTTTCGTCTTACCTTACGCGATGGAAGGCACATTCTGCCATTTGAACCGGGCTGTGGAACGCGTGTGTGTGTTAAGAGATCGATTGCGAAATATGAAAAATCATTGAGCGAAAAATACTTAAAAGTCTTACATAAAAGTGTTAAGCGAAAAAACACGCATTAAATTGCATTTGAACAGACAAAGAGAGTCACTTGTATGATCATCCACTAAAAATAGTAGGAGAGAGAGACGGAAAAATTGAAAATGTATGCGCCACACATTGAAGGTGGATGGAATTTAATTAGCATTCCTATGTAATTTCTATGGTATAGGAATACTCAGTGGAGTCACACAATTAGTCTGTGCAGCGTAGTTCGTCTACTCCACATAAGTCATGTCGGTATTATAATGAAAGTGTAAACTCCTACATATGTTCACAATATATATCTTGTATTATAATAATCAGCAGTGAGAAGTATAAAAAGCCATTCAGTCATGCACAAGTGCAGAAAAAAATTGGCGAGAAAAGGGGGTGAATAACACGGTAAAATCTCCCCAAATAAACATCCTGGCTTTACATAACATGCCAATGTTTGAATGGTATTAATAAATTTGAAAAGACGATATTATACCGTGTAACGTGCCCATTTTCTCTTCAAAAAACCCAACAATTGTGTGACTACAGCATTATTTTTGTTTAGAATTCACTCAACAATGAGATAAACGTATGTTTTTTATATCTCCTGTACTAAAACGGTCACAGTTTTTTATTTCATCAATTTGTTTCATGGACATTCTTCTTGTACACTCGCAGAATTGTGGGTAATTTTTCGAATTTTTGCCATTTCCCGCCCAATAAGCGACATCATGGCGGCAACAGAGAGCATGTAAATTGCAAAGCTGTCTCTCGATCAAATGCCGATGTGGGTGGTGTTTCTGTCCAATCCCATTGCGACATCTCTTCTTGCTGAAATCTCCATCACAGCGATAATTTTTTACTTCAAGGCAATCAAGAGTACACACAAGCATTGCGAGGTGATCGCAAGAGGATGGCAAATGGCGTGATTGAGAGATTTTCTCATGGGAATCGTGACCATTTTCCACTACATTTTCACTGTGTATATTTACCTTTTATCCGTCAAGTGTTTCCTCTGCAATATGAATAAGTCTCTAAAATTGCTGCTTTTATTGCAATTGCTAAATTTGAGACATGAACGGAAGCAGAGTTATTAAAGATAGAAATTTTTATCTGAGAAGAGCAATTGAAAAGTTACTCATTCGATTAAATGGGCAGTTAATCGCTTATCGTTTATTTTGTGCACAAATTTGATTGGAGGACGTGAAAATTTATGAGTTCATATAATTTTCCTGATGGAATTTGAAATTCTCAACCGACAGTCACTTAATGTACTTGAGATTTTACAATTTGCCGAAAAAAAATGACTAATGATCTTCCCTCCAAAGTGTTGCTCATTTTCGGTATTTCTGCACTGGCAACATATGTATGTATGTGCTCTTTAATGCCACCAAAACATTTCCATCTCACCTGCCTTACCTTCGCTGGTGTTGGCGAAAACGCCACAGTGTCAGTTTCTTCTTGGGGCTCTCGAGGTGGTGTTGAGTTGCGGGAAAAGCAGTGTGACTCGAAAATTAACGATTCCACGGGACAAGAGACTGGAAATGGAAGTGAAATGAAATTTAGTGTTGGTTACGTCTTCATTGCGTGAATATCGCGCGCTGACTTTTGGGGTGTCTCAAACCGAAGAAGCAGAAGAAGCGTTAATGAACTTTTTTGTACAGTCTGTCCTGACTTCTTAAGATCACTGATGGCTGCTTGAGAAATTATAATTACACCCGTGTTGAACGCATTGTTTGCCAGATTATATCATACTGCAAAATATCAGTGTGGCTCGTGTGTGGTTATCTGGTTGAAGAGTGAAAGTTCATTGTTGTTGTGAGGGAGAGAAAATATGGATCAGTGCTTTGGATGATGTTGTTTTTTCTTCTTCTCTGCTGGATTCCTTCAATTGCAACATTGCCAGAGTTGTCGAAATTAGTCATGAGACCGGTTCTTGTGCTCAACACTCCAACACAAGGATACCAAACTGGCTGACCTCGCGCATAAACAGTGTTTGTGTGGATGCGGTGAAATGAATTAATCTCTTGTACATGGCATGTGAATAAGATCGCGGATTCCGAAAAATTTCTGCTTCAACGATCGCGCGATCGATTAAAATGTTGTAATGATCATTCATCTGCCTGGCTTAGAGTCTCTGTTCTTTGCCTCGTGGCTCTTGCATCCCAGCCCGGGGATCGCCCATGGGAGAGTGACGAAAGACAGAAGAGGAGGGGAATAAGACAAAAAAAAACACTGAATTTCTCACCAACATTGCTCATATACTCCATTTATTATAATCTCCATTATTGGGTTCCGATCCAGTGCCTCTTTGCGCAATGAACTTTGTGGTTGACGGAAATGGGAACTGATGAAGTGGCGCTCGACAATTGCAAGAGTGTTGTTGTATCTCAGAGAATATGGCCTTTGGAGTGTCTTCGGGCACTGTGACAACTGTACCGCGAAAGAGGAGACCCCGAGCTGCTGGTGAAGGTTGGCTCTCTGCCCCGTTGTAATCTCACTTTCAAGAATTGTGAAACACCCTCTCTCTCCGCAGTTCTTATCTCATCTCAATCAATTGTGTACTTGACGCACAAGAATGAGCCACTGGCGAACGCCGAGGAGCCAGTGTACGAAAATGTGGACTCTGGTCCAGGTGTGAAAGGCAGGGAGACGCTGTGTATCTGTCGAACGACGTATCCGACATCCGGAGAATGTGAATTGCAGCAAATTGCCGTCTTTGTTGGTAGTTTTCCAATGAGACCTCTATTAATGCGTTCCTCAAAGGCTTCAGAGGCCATAATGACCGTTCATTTAATTAACTGACGAATTTCTCTTCTCTCTCTATCCATCTCTCGACTGTCCAGATGATTCTGACCATCACTACGAATCTCTCTACTCAGCCAAATTAACCGAGCCACAGACGAAACTCACCAGTCACACAAACGGCGATACTCAGGCTATTATAAGCAACGCGATGGAGAAAGATCTGCCAGATGATGACTTCGACTCATTCGACAGTGATCCAGATTCCGACGATGATATTAAAAAGGTGAGGAATTTTAATTGGTTCAGCATATTTTTGCGTGAATTGTCGAATGACTGCCTAATTCCATGCTAAAGTCAAGGTATGAAGAGTTTCTAAAAACTCTTTCCATTAGTGGAAATATTTGTATTTTTCTTAAGTGTTCACGTGGAGTCAATGTCTTTTGATATTACCGCTGTGTTTCCCTTCTCTTCTGAATGAATTTTTCCGGGCAAAACTAGAGACAGCGAAAGAGGCAATAATCTTAATCCAAAACACTTCTTTCTGATATAATATTCAACGGTGTGACCAATTTTTTGGGAGCTTAAATCAGCAAATTCTCTTCCCAACTTACTCAACTCTTTGTGTTGTAATCAAGATTTACAAGAAATGAACTGAAATGACTCACTTTTCGGTCTGATTATAGTAGAAATTTTTGTCCACATTTAATGGAAGAGAAATACACTGAAGATATCAATATGAAACAGTCTTAAATTTGTGTCTAATTTTATGCTAAAAAACATGGCTTTGAAGATTCCTAATGTGCTTCACATTAAGATGCAGTGATTGTGATTAATTTAACGACATTTCAGACGTCTTCATTTGCGTGCTTATCCCCCAAATGATATCATATCAATTTAACACGAAAGCCAAATGGTGTGAGTTTATGGGAAAAAACGCGATAGACAGATTTTTTTTTACCAAAGTGAAAATTCAGACCGCATATAAAATGCATGAAAATGTCTGCAATCGATACAAGTCGGAAGCGACAGCTTAAGTTTCAATGAATTATTAATATAATTGAATATCACTTGATTGGAAGTTATTCTACATATTCCTTCCTCAACAAAATTTCAATAGTTTTTTTCTTTTTTACAAGTGTGATCACGAAGAGTGAATTTATTCAGTCAAGCCTACGAATGTCTTTTTGCACAATGAATATAAATAATAATGAAAAATTGCATTATGCAGAGTTATTTATTGCCACAGATGGGGGTTTTATCGAAATTATATATATGAGAAAATGCGTGATTTTTGCTGAAATAGTCTCAGATTCAAAGTGTTGATGAGCTGCGCTGCAATTCGGTTGCGGGAGGGAATAAAAAATGAGAGTGTGCGAACGATTGGATAGGCAAAGGCGCAAGCAAAACAATAGAGATAGAGAAATCATCGGGCCTATGAACTAAAGAGTTCACTTTTAATACATCTCAGGGAAAGAGAGAGAGATGTTTTCGTAACGAACAGCATTTTCCACACTTCCTTCGCTGCTCCGGTCGGATATTACCATTTGTGATTACATGGCTGAGGCGCGATGTTTTGATTGGAAACGCAGAAATGTGGCGAAGATATTCAAATGTATGAGAAGAAGATGCATATATGTATGGTTAATCCATTTATCAATTGTGTGTGAATGGGAGAGATTGTGAGGAAGAGAGTTTTGGCTTTTTATCGGATTGTGTGTAATGAACTTTCTTCCATTTTCCACGTGTGCTTCTTTTCCTCTCTCTCATGCACGGCAGAACGACAGCGGCGTGGACGTGAGCAACACGAAGCTGCCTGAGCCGCCGCCATCGTCCAATCAAGTGTATGCGTTGATGCAGAAATTCAAGAACTTGAGCTCACTGTCGGAGATCTCAAAGTCACTGAGTCGCTTCACGAAGAAGAAGTCGTCGAAGGGACGCAGCGAAGCCCCAACAGTGGGCCAGAAGTATGAGAATACGAAGTTTTACGATGCGCCGGAGTATCAGAATGTGAACTTCGACGGCACTGTGCGAAAGTCCAAATCACCAAAGTCCAAGAAGCGCAACTCTGTCTTCTCGCTGAAGAGCGACGATGCGTACGAGAATACGGAATTCCATGCGCCATGTCTGGCGCCAGGAAGTCACACGCAGCAATCTAGTCTCGATGTCGCGGAGGCCACGCGAGGGGCTGAGGATGGACTGGAGGCGCCCGTGAAGGTGCCGCGCAAGAAGTCGAAGAACGGCAAGAGCTTCAAGTCCAAGCTGCGCAGGAGTCTCGTGTCCTCGGAGTCCACACTGAACATTGGCAGCTCCTTCAATGGCACGCGCAGCACGTTCTACATCTCCGATTCGATGGACATGGACTCGGGCATCTTCACGGGCAGCGATCGGACACTCAAGACTGACGACTTGGCGGGCAAGTCACCCTTGCAGGAGATTGCGAAGGAGAACCGCCGCAAGAGTACGCCGTGTGGGCGGCCCCTGAACCCGCCACCGCCGCCGCCCGCCTCCTCGGCGGACAGGAAGAAGAGTCCCGGCTCCACGACGTCGTGGTACGCCGAGTGCGGCGTGTTCAAGTCCGACACGCTCAAGCTCGAGTCGAAGGGGCGCGAGAAGAAGATCAGCGGCCGCGGCAGCACCACTTCGTGGTACGCCGAGGCGGGTCTCTATCAGACCACAAGCGGAGACTCCGTGGCCAGCTCCAGCGGCAGTTCCGGCGTCTCCACGGGCGGCGAGTGCAACGGCGCCGACGACAACTCGCACAGCATGTTCCTCAACGAGCCACTCTACCAAATCTACTCGGCCGCGAAGCTGGAATCGATATCGAGGGACATTGAGGAGCAGGATCAGAGCGACGGCTACGAGGAGATCGGCAAGAAGGACGAGATGGAGATTGCGGAGAAGAAGCCGCTGAGACCAACGGCTCTGCAGCTGGTGGGACCCAGACAAGGGCCTTCGCGGACGCTCTGGAGCGAGATTCCGGAAGTCATCAACTCTGAAATTCTGTGTAAGTTGAACTTTCATTTATTTTTTAGTCTTTTCGCCCCTCATTAATCATGTGGAATTCGGAATAGCAAAGAAGATTTCCGCATGAATTTCAGTGAAATTGAGGGTAGAGAAAGAGTTCTAATCACTCCACGGATGCTTGTTCTCAAATGGATAGTGTCTACTCAACCAGGGAACGATAGTTTAATGATCTGGCTATAATATAATCACTTGCTATCAGAGATCATCACATTTCACATTTAACTGCTGGAGAATAAAAGTGAAATTGGTCGAAATGCTGAGGCAAGACAGAGTGGGATGAGCGTCTTTAAGTCATGGCGAATTTCAAGATCACGATCAATAAATTGAATAATTCAATGCGCTATTGAGCCACCCACGAAGAGCCAATATGGGCAGGAAGTGAGTCTGATCATGTGCTTTCTCTCAACAGCCACGCTCACGTCAACGGAGAAGCGTCTGCAGGAGGCGAAATTCGAGATTCTCACCTCGGAGGCGTCGTATCTGAAGTCGCTGAATCTCCTCAAGTCACACTTCATGAATGATCCGTCCTTTAAGGATCCCAACACACTCAGCAGCGCCGACCGGAAGACGCTGTTCTCCTACACGATTCCCGTGCAGGAGTGCTCAGATCGGCTGCTGTGCGACCTGGAGAATTGCTGGCAGGACAACATCATGCTGCTGGGCTTGAGTCACAGTGTGTACAAGCACGCGGAGAAGTACTTCCACGTGTACGTGCAGTATTGCGAGCACCAGGTGCGTCTGGACAGGACACTGAGGCGCCTCAAGGACGGCACGAGGAACTTCACGCAGGCTCTGGACGTGCTGGAGGCCGATCCGGTGTGCTGCGGACTGAGTCTGCACTCCTTCCTCATGCTGCCCATGCAGAGGATCACGCGACTGCCGCTGCTGATTGACGCCGTGCTGGGCAAGCTGAAGCCGGACGACGACGAGTACGACAGCTGGAAGATGACGCTGGCGATTCTCAACAAGATCGTGGCGCAGTGCAACGAGGCGGCCAACCGATCGGAGCAGGCCTACGAGATGCAGTACATCTCCCGCCAAATTGAGTTCCCCACCAGCATCAGTCCCTTCCCCATCGTGCCCGTGGGCATCCCGGCGCCGAACGGCCTGTCGCGGACGCTCGTGCGTCGCGGGGAGTTGACGCATCTCATCTGGCGTGGTGACGATGGGAAGCTGACGTTCGGGAAGAAGTTCAGCAAGTCCAACATCTACGTTTTCCTCTTCACCGACATTCTGGTGCTCACCAAGAAGAAGAGGTGAGTCGACAGTCTGTGGAAGCTCTCGACAGACTCTCACGCAGCTTCTTCTCTCTCTCCTTTTCCAGCGATGAGAACTACTTGGTGTTCGATCACTGCCCCAGATCCATGCTGACTGTGTCCTCTGGCGATGTGATACCTCAGCTGCCCACGAAGGATGTCGCGCTGGCGGGAAAGCATCTCATCCTCATGACTCTGCTGGAGAACCACGAGGGAAAGACTATTGAACTGGTGAGTGACGTGATTGTCCTGATGATTCAATCCGTTGGTCTTTCCGCGCGCATCATAAAATGTATATTATATAATTCGTGGTTTCCTCTATAATTCATGAGTGTGCGCTGAAACATTAATAATTAACTGCATTGCTAAATAGCATAATAATTGGAGTATAAATTTGATACTCATCTTTTTCTGTTGTGGATTAATATGTTATCTCAATTCCTGGTGAAATACAGTCATAAATTTTCATGTCTCTTTGCATATGAAATATGCGAGGCGTGTTATTATAAGTAAAATTGCAGATTAGATTTGTGGAAAAAAGTGTGTTCCAATGAAAGGAAGCTTTCCGAAGCGCTCAAACGGAATGATTTTGTGAGGAAGATTCAAGCTAAAGTTGTGTAATGTCAGCTACATATGTGAGAAATACCTAGAATATATATTATCAAGCTTCTTTTCCGAAGAAAAGCTCCCTTTGTGTGTTTCATGAAATTGCTATGAAACATGATCTCTGTGTTTTGCCTATCTTCAGGCTATTTGTAGAAATCTAGTAAGAAAAGCGCGCAAAAGTGGGTCACTTGGATGATTTATGTCTTTTCTCTCATGCAGATTTTATCCTGCCAATCCGAGACGGATCGCCAGCGGTGGCTGCAAGCCACTGAGCCGCCGTCGTCGGACAATCCGGATGAGACGCTGTACGAGCAGTGGGACTGCCCGCAAGTGATTGTGCGCCACGAATATCAGGCCACGCAGCCGGATGAACTGTCCCTGGATCCCGGAGACATTGTGAACGTGACGCGGAAGATGGCAGACGGTGAGTGTTGAGAAAAGAGACGCTGAGAAACCCTTTTCCCTGACTGTGTGGCTGATTTTCAGGCTGGTATCATGGCGAGAGGATACGAGATGGCACGCCCGGGTGGTTTCCAGGCAACTACACTGAGGAAGTGGCATCTCCGCACGTTCGAGCACGCAATCTCAAGCAACGCTACAGACTACTCACCTTCACAGCGACGTATTTGGAGGCGCAGAAGAAGAAGTGAACATTCCAGCACGCGAAAGAGTGTTTTGATGAAAATGTGATAAGATTTTTTGTATTGGAGAAAAACCTCTGCAATCCTACTAATCCCTCAATGTTGTAATGAGTTGTTGTATTTGTTTTTTGTCTCGTAACCCAAAACACAGAAGAGTGGAAGAAAAAATGAAATCTAGAGAAATCAAAAATGTATTTAATTTGTGTAAATAAAAATGCATATACATACAATGATACTCTTTGAGCCCTTCTGCAGCAATTGAGCCTTAAGTACACACAGGAAGTCTGAAGCCGGCCGTTGATAAATGCAGGCACAGTTCAGGGAATGTCTTTGAAAATTTACAATAAAAAATAGAAAGTCCGCGCGGACTTGAGTCACTTCGTCTGAACCCTGTTATGCCCACCCGAACCTGCGCCTCTGCTGGAAGACACGGACGCTCAGATGCGACTCCGGCTGGACGTGCCGGACTTGATGTCGAACAGCTTCCGGACGAAGTACACCTGGATCGTTGTGGTCACCATGATGACGAGGATCTGCGCCAGCGACCACTTCTGCACGTAGGTGTTGTTGTCCGACAGCAGGGCGTAGTCCCTGGCCTCCCGGCTGCGCGAGTGCGCCTGGTACTGCAGCATCCCGTTGATGTTCTGCTCCACATTCTTGATGGTGCTGGTGAAGTTGTGGATGTTGAGCTGCAGCTCCTCGATCTCCTTCGCGTACTTGTCCCACTCGTCGTACTTGATCACAGTCAGGTACATGTTGATCAGCTTGCCGGCGAAGCGGGAGAACTGATTGTCCACGCACACGGAGTAGTAGCCACCTGTTGAGCTCTGGTCAGAGTATTCGGAGGACGGTTGCCACTGGTAGGGATGCACAATCTGTCCGTTTGGGTGGCGCACAGCGAACCCAGCCATGCCGTCGCCGCCGCGAATGACCTGCAAGGACACAGACACACTCGTCAGCATGCGGATGGGATGCGATCCGCGACTGGCTCACCTGGAAGCTGACGTAGAAAGTTGCGCCAGGAGCAACGTACTGAAAGTAGCAGTCCTCCTTGCCGGCGTCAATGTGGACCTTGTAGTCCATGGCGACCGCAGGCAGGGACTCGTACCATGGCCTCTGCGTCTCCTGTCCCCACGTGTGGTGGCTGGCAATTAATAGTAAAAGCAGAACTTTTAAAAACATAAAAATGTGCCACGACATAGTTCACAGTTCACACTCTCTACTCTACACACACACACTACTTCGCATCCGCCACGCTGGCGCTGCTGACTGGGAGGAGACTTCTCCAATTGGAGACTTTTCTGAGAAATCGCGCGCGCCAAAAACCCACCAAAGCAATAAATCAGCACTTTTCACGATAAAAATGTTTAAATTCAGATTATTTATGAGTTTTTAAAGACAATAATAACATTTTAACCAAATTTCTTTAAGTGGAATGTCGGCAATGCCTTTTCCTTCCACCCTAAATCACAGAAATTATTAATAATTTCTCATGCAAATGCGAATGAAAGCAATGATAGAATCCGGACGACAAGGCCTATCGCAATGTTCAATATTTTCCCACTGTTTCACCACCCGCCATTGCGCGCGCATGGAATTTCCACCAATTTCCGCCCTTGACGAAAGTGTGTTTGAAAATGTCTCCAAAAGCGAGGAGAATTCCACAAACAAGCCAAAGTTAAGGTAGCAACGAGAAGATCTTTCAATTTCTGTGGGAATTTCCCCAGAAATTGGGCTTTTGAGGTGTCAGGTGTGGAATTTGGAGCCTCCGCGTGGCGAAGATGGCGCGCGAACGGGCGAAAGTGGACGAAAAGGACATGCAAGCGCGCTGCGTGGCGGACTGCGCGCCAGATGGCACTCGTGCGCCAGGAATACCGTGTTGGAGTACGTAGGTGTGAAAATTTCGCAAAAATCGGTGAAAATCGCGACATGGAGGGTGAGCACTGTGGCGACAAGATGTGCACGACGAGGTGAAAGGGCGGAGTGCTTGAGAGTGCTGCAGAAACTCGAGGGAAGTGACTTGGAGGCGCGCGTGTGGGGCCGTCTTGTGGCATTCGCACACTTTTTCGGGGGGTGGTTTGGGTGAGGGCTTTTTTCCTCGGAGGGCTCCCCGTCGCGCGTGTGTGTGACCGTGCATGTGTGCGTGTGTGGGGGATTTGCTGGCGAAAAAGGACACCACACTGCACAGGAGGTGGCTGGAGGCACGGAAGGGCCTCGCGGGCGGGCGCACTAGCGTGAGGGCGCGACTCTGAATGGACTTGCTTGCAGCTGGGGGGCTTCGAGCGCCCCCGACTGTGCACTGCTGAGAGGATGTCGTAATGGCAAGAGAGGTGAGTTTCGCCCACCCACCACCCCAAATTGCAGCTCTGCCCCCTTCGCGCTCAGGCCCGTGCAACTGCGTCCCGAACACGCCCCAAAATTCATGTGGGCGCCTCCCGAGGGCTCTGGCGGGTGTCGCGCCCGGGGCGCCCAAGACTGGCGGTGGGAGGGCAGCCAGAGTGCCACGGAGGTGGAGTGCTTTCGGGGCCGCAAAATGGGTTTTTAATGTGGAAGTAATCACACTTTTCCCACGCATTTTCCTCTCGCGCTCCAGACTCAACCCCGTCTGAGGTGCGTCTAATCGCCATCAGCATCCACTTCCGCTCTTTGCGTCGCGATAAGTGCGACATGGGGTGACTTTGGCAGTCGCCAGGTGCATTGGGGGCGCACAAGGGGCGCCAGTGTGGCTGTGAGAAGTGTGCTTTCCTCGCTGGGATAGCGTGGAGGACGACACAGTGATGTGTGTGGAGATTCTATGGCAACATACCGGGCGTCTCCACTGTCAACACAACTGTATCATCTGCCCGCGTACAGATGTCGCGTGGAACGTGTCACGGGGTGGAAAATGGGCCCCCATATCCGGAAAGATAAATTTCTGCACCCCCAAAGCACCAGAAGCTGCCGAAAACCTACTCGAGTGGAGATTCTTGGCGAAAATACAATGGAAATAATCACTCACGCACTCTTCTTCTCTCCACTCACCCAAAAAAACCCCCTCCCAAAAACAGTGAAAAGAGGGAGGAAAGGAAAAATCCATGTCCGTGGCAAAGCTGAAAATATTAATTGAAATATAATATCGTATTTAAAACACTTGCGCCGCACGAAGAATTTGATGAATGAGAACGGATATGGCGCGTATGTGAATGTCGCTAAATGTCATCCCACCCACGAGCAACACCCACATTGCAATGAACCTAACTTTTGCCCTATTACATGTTGATTCACAAGAAAAACCCGAGGGCGTTCCTCCCTCAGATTTTCACACAATTTCCCTCCACACTTCGAGCGGACTGGGCAAAAACATTCATTATAACTTAACACGGCTTTCCAGAAGCCCTTCTTCTGGTCCACGTCGGGGCCATTTTTCCGTGGAATTCCGGGTGAAATGGGAGGTTAATGAGTTGTATTTACAATTTTAATTTTGATCTTTAGTACATTAGAGACCATAATTTGAATATTAGCATCTTCTGTTGTCCTTTTTTTTACCTCATTTTTCTCTTCACACAAAAGTGAATTTTACTCGAAAATCACAAAGTCCTCTTTCGATAAAAGCTTCTCAATTGATGCAAACTTGAGAATAGTTTAAATGTGAGGCAATCAAATGCAGATCAATCTGCGGAATTGAGGAAAATACTAAAAGGTGTGTCAATTGAGTTCTTCGCTACGGTTTTCCAATGCTTCAATTCAGCTCAGCCACTTCATTTTCATTCTATGACTCAGATAAAGTGTCAACAAAATTCTCATTCTTCACTGCTCCTTGAGCAAATACTCCCCGCAGAAGCACAGTACGTTTGATGAATTTCCTCCATTTCACCGTCCGCCAATATTGATCTTCCGGATCCTATGCAGAGAACTTCATTCCTGTATGAAATCTCGAGCATACATGAATGTTATACAGTGTGGCAGAGAGTGAATAGATTTATGTACATACATCGCCGTGGAAGGAATTTATAGGCGTCAACCTCATTGCAAGGCGGAAGTGACTTTCGCAGCCACTTCTTTAAGGCTCCCTCGGCGCTTCCTTAATCACCTGCTCTTGTGGGGGGAGGGAGCGGGAGAGGGGAGGAGGCGTGCAGCGAGAGCAAATACAAGCTCGAAAGTTCGCAATCAATAGCAAAAGAGGGCCACTGAAGAGGCCACACTATTGTGAAACTGGCCCAATGCCAGCAAATCGAATATCTCAATGTAAAGCGCATCGTGACGACAATCACATGTTCCTCACCTCAAAGCCCAATTTCATTCGGGATTCTTGTTCTTCGTCGCTTCATACATAACACTGCAATTTTTCCTCCCCTTGCGGAGGAAGAGCGAATTGTCAACCCAAGGATGCATTATTCTGCTGAAATCATCGCAAAATGGGATTCTCTCTATGCTCAGGCACAAATGTCGAATCATTCTGTGAACAATCAGACAGATGGCTTTATAAAGCATTACATCATTATCTTTATTTAGGCAAAAACTCTACAATGCCGTGGGGATGAAGAGCGTATGTATCTTAGCGTCCTTTGATGTTGCATTCCTCCATATATATAAATTTTATATGTGTACACGTCGGAAGCGTATCCCGTGGAATGCAGTCATACAGGCAGCGTCACAGGCGATTCCCAGTACAAGACGTTAAGTGGTGGGTTCGTCGGTATTTGTGGCTACTGTAGTTACGCCTTGTAGTTGAAGCAGTACTTCATTTCACGGGTACATAGCGCTGATCCCATTTACTCCGCCGCATTACATAACTTTCCCACGGGTCGGGGGGTGCGGCGAGGAGGGTGGAAAATAAACACAACAGAGAGATTGGACGGCAAGAGAGGCGCACTGGAGGCAAGAGAGAGAGAGAGGGAGAGGAAAAGTGTGTGTGAAAAGCTACGATTCGGGACGCTGGGATGGCTTTGGCTCTCTCGGAAAGGGAGAAATGGGGACTCTTGGTGTGTTTATCTATACAAGATGTGTGGGTGGGTTTGGACTGAATTTTCTATGTGCCAAATATATGGGTCATCGTCACCTATATCGTTAGTCTGAATGCGATTCCGAATGTGTGATGTGGCGCACACATGTCCTATGATGCGTGTGTGTGTGTTGAGAGTCATGCGGGGGCTTTTGGGGAGCACAGTGGGAATCAGGGAGCTCACTCTTCTCTCATCTCCCTCAGCAAGCAAAGCACAATTACGCTCTGGAGCGTCATGTAAGATTTGTACATTTTCCAAATTCTCTTCGGGTCTTACATAATATACCTAACCAGTGCGGAGTGCGATGGAAATGGTACATTTCCAGTTCTTCCTCTTCTTGCGTTTAATTTTATTAGATGATGAGGGAAGATGCGCGAAGAGCAATTAGATTTACTATTTGTATGTCGTATTGACACACTATGTAGTAGATGTGCCGCAGAGTATCAAAAGAGATGGAAAGGAGGAACTTTGACGAGCCCTCATGAATCTTATAAACTCTGTACTTTTGGGATTTTTGCTGATGCATTCATTTCCTTTCATGCCCCAAATAAGAAATGTCGCCATTCCACTGAGGATTGCAGATACTTAATGGGAGATGCATAGAGTAGTCTGAATGCCATTCAGTCAGACTTTTTATCTTGCTTAATAGCTATAATGTTGAGGTAAAGCATATTAGATGATTAGGTTATTGGTCTGTGTTTATTTCAAAGATGTTTTCGGTGCCTTGTCTTCTGTTCTTTACACAATTGTGTTCTTTTGCTCTTCAACTGGCTTCTCAAACTTGCGTTGCGAACCATCAGAATATTCCTTATTAAAGTGTGTGGTGGTCTAGAGATTTCCTGCATTTCCAAGAATTTGCCATGATGCATGGGAGGGAAGGATCAAGAAGGACAAATGGACGAAGTGGAGAAAGCTCCGGAGTACATAGGCGTATGAGCGTGCGAAGAGAGGGAAGTTCTGCTCGCGTGTATATGTAGGTTGGCGAGGAGAGTCCTGCGCTCTCTCTCTCTCTCTCGCGTGCTGGAATCCGCGAGAGAGCACAAGGGGTTGGCACACGGCGAAGAGGCCGTGAGTGGGAGCGACCAAGAGCGAAGGATACGTCGCGAAACGAGGTCACACGACGCCGTCTCGACACAACAACGATGCCATTTGGTCAGGAGGGCACTGCACTTTGTGATTTTCATTCGAACCGAGAGGATCACAATATTCGCTCATCTCGCAAAAGTGCTTCATCTGGAAGCTGCATTGTACTGCAACTTTTCTACGCCCCCAAAAACGGCACCCCCCCACACATTTCAGGCTCAAAATCACTCGCGCGCGCGGCGAATGTGCGTTTTCTGAGTGTGTCTCGATAGGTTGTCGTGTGTCGCCATATCCCTCGCTGTCTGGGTTTCCTGCAGGAACCTTTAGGTGCTGCTAGTGAACATTTTGAGTGTTGTGATTCTTCTCTGTGCTGCGTTGTGTTGAACTCTGCGCCCAGATTTGCAGGGCAACGCGTCTCCGCCTGAGCTCTCTTCTGGTTCAAGTGACAAAAAAAACCATGATATTCTAAAGAAAAAAAGCGTGTTTCGCCATATGGATTGTACAATATATTGTCATCTTTTTTGCAACACAAATTGTTCACAATCGTATCCCGTTCTCGTAGTTACACATGTTACTATATACGGACATAAGTAGGAAAAAAAAATCGATGTTTATATATTTATATGTATGATGTGCATTCGTAGTGGAGTTTTGCGAAAAGTGGGTGAACAAATGTAACAAGTGCTGGGGTGAATTTGTCGTTTTTTTTGGAGTAAATGTAGGGCAGTGTTTTTGCCAAAAAGTTCTAGGGGTGGAGAGAAAGAAGGAGCGCGAGGGTGTTTTATCTCGAGCGTACAAGAATTTAACAACACAAATCAAACTGCAATAAATTGTGACGACATGAAAAGAGGACATTTCTCTTTTATAGTGTTTTACAAGTTAGAGTAGGTGTGACTTTTATCTCTGTTCCAAAAAAACCATAATTTTCTTCTTAAAATATGTATGGTTTCAAGTGATTTGTTATCGAGGAAATAATCGGTTTTTTGTAACACTTAAGCATTTTCTACTGCGAAAAGAAACACAACGTTTTTAAGATAAAACGCAAAGTGACAGAAGTCAATAATTTATAGCGACAAAAAGAAAAAGGAAGAGAAAAGTTAGGGACTGTTGAAATTTTGCTCATTTTGTGATATTGACTACAGACTCACAGTCTCCGTGAAACTGCCGAAAATTTTTCTACACGGTCTTTTATTAAAATTCTTAGGACTTTTGGGGATGCGTATTCCCGGACAAGTGTGAAAACTAGGACAATGTAAAGGCTGGCCTGACTGCCTGAGAAAGTGGTGCTGAAAATCCGTGCTTGGAGAGCTGGTGAACGTGAGTGGCAAAAGAGGTCAGAGTCGATGGATAAAATGTGGTCAGCAGCTTTGTGCACATTGGGGGTGGCAAAGCCAATCTGGGGATGCACCTGCTTGAATTTTCGCCAAGGATTACCCACGGTAATTGCCAATAAGTAATTGCTATCAAGCGTTAATGGGTATGACCTATCTAAATGCCCTTATTCATGCCAAGTATCACATATAGAAAATATTTGCTGAGGTAAGGAAGTGCTCGTGGGGCTGATTTTGTTGGCAAAGAGCCACTGTGTGGGTTGGGAATTTGGGGGTGGCCGAGAGAGAGAGAGCGCGCGCGAGAGAGAGATTCAGGGGAAGTCAGATGATACAGACTCTTCGGGGTGGGAAAAGAGCCACCCCTCCCTGACTCTGTGTGTGTGTGTGCACAGCGGAGAGAAGAAAAAGACAGAGCGTGTGACAAGCAAAAAGGTAGTAAATCGATCCCAAAAGAGATTTGGAACAATGTGCATTGACCTTATTTCTCTCTGTGCACTTCCACTCCCGTGCGGGAGTCTGTGTGCTGGGGTGCACGGAAAGTGGAGCGAATACAGGGTGTGTTCGTGGCAGCAGAGAAAAAGAGGGCCCGAGCGAGGGAGACTTGCACACGCCACCCGTCCATACGGTCCATTTGACATTCACACTCCCCAGCAGCATCCCTGAATCATCTGATTGTTTTCCCTGCACAATAATCTCACACACTTTTCTCTCCCACGCATGCTGTGTCTGTGATGCATCTGAAGGAGGCTCGTGGCGGGAAAAGACCCCTAAAAATCTGGGATAGCTGGCGAAATATCCGAAAAGGTCTGGTTGTTGGCAGTTTTGAAGAATTACTCGTAAGAGGTATGTGACACTGTCGCGCATAATTCTGGACTGGGAAGACCAAACTCTCACATCTCTAAAATGTGGCCTTTTGCAGGAAAAGACAAATTGGGCGTTCCCGCCTCGGAACCTGTTCGGGTGGTTCTTGAGTGTGACGGTACACAAATTGAGGATGGTGAGTACTTCCGGACGTTGGCCAACAACACAGTGCTTCTGCTCTTGAGAGAAGGCGAGCGTTGGTATCCAACTGGAGTGGACGTTATAAAAGCTGGTAATTGTAGTATTTGTCGTGTTTGTCATATCAATATAAGAGACTTTATTAGCTGATTTAATCAATTTGTGGGCACTAATATTCTCCTTTTCTCTCTCTATTCTCCCAATGCGCTCGTGTAAAGCGATATCTGCTATACCAAAGATCGTCTGCGAGACGATTCATGCGCTAGAGCTGCACGATGAGACACCGTCTTGGAAGATTATGGATAACAAGGGTCGCGTCACGGTTGTGTTGCACTGGGATCAGAGACAAGGCGGCGGTCAGGGCGGCGCGAGTAGCAACGGATTGTCCAGCGATAAGTTCTCACCATCGAAGAAAGGCCTGTCGGCGCAGAGCTCCCTCGATAAGTCGTCACCGGGTCCACAGCAGCGCTACCCCAGTCCGCAGATCACTGTAATCAACCACGACGACCCGCAGACGGGCATCTACCACCCGGGCGGGCGGCGATTGTCCAAGCAGGGCGGCTCCTTCGACGGAGTGGTGCACGTGCACACGCCCGAGTGCGCCCATCACGCGCACACGCCCAGCCGGGCGGGCAGCCCCAGTGCGGCCGAGTGCGACTTCCACTGCTGCGCCCTGCACGAGGAGGGCCGCAAGATCGCCGTGCACAAGAGCGTGGCGACATCGCCCATCCAGGACGGCAGCGGCAGCCCGCAGCCGCCGCCCAGCTCTATGACGGACCCCAGCGGCCGGCGCACGTCGGCCAGCAAGGGACATGTGCGCTTCCTGGACATTGGGCCCGAGCGCGACAGCTCGGAGTCGGAGACGGAGAACACGGTGATGGAGGACGAGGCGGTGACGTCGGAGAAGTTCCTTCTGCTCATCGATCAGCTGTCCGTGGACCAGAAGCGGCATCTCAGCATCAAGGACATCGGCATCATCCTCGAGCGCCTCAGCTCGAAGATCCTCGATGTTGAGCGTCTGGATCGCGAGAGCGAGTCAGACGACTGCTACAACTGGACCATCAAGGCCACAATCCGGGGTGATGCTTTACGTGAATTGGGTGTTATCTACAATGGGAACTACTATGCAATCTCAGAACATCCGGGGTACAAGGAGGAGAACGAGAATGAGAATGGGGAGGAAGAGGATGAGGACAGATTATAGGAGGACGATTACGAAGACGAGAGTGAAAATTCGCAAGTGCTTCGCGTGTGAACCGTGTCATGCCAGAAGTTTAAACACAAAAAGAAGAAGAATATCGCTCAAGAGTGCTCGAAGTCTCTCGTCTTCAGACCTTTTAAAACAATGTTTTAGTTTGCCGTTTGTTTTCAAACAACAACAAAAAAAGAAATGATAAACCACGTACTTTAAATGAAATTAATACTACACACACACACACACACATGAAAGATGGTAAAATGAAATTGAACAAAAAAGGAAGAGGAGAAAAATGAGGAGAGGAATAAATGAAATTTCTAAGTATATATTATTAAAAGTTGTGATTAGTGAATGAAAGAAACGATTAAAAATAGAAAACAAACTATAAATAATTAAACGTAATGAAATGGAGAAAAAAACACGTTTTAGCGGTGAAAATGTGTTAAAAGGTGACCCGTGGACACTTATTTTCTGCTGTTTATAAAATATTTTAGACAACAAAGAAGGATTAAAAAAAAACCAGAGACAACTAAAATAATTGAATAATGTAAAATAAACAATCATTGAGAGAACATGCGCATCAGATCCAGAGAGAAAAGCCCACCATAGGGATTAAATGTAATTTTTGAGATGAAGAAGCATTCACACATTTTCAAATTTGTCAAATGATCATATACTTTCTCATCGTGTAACATAAGGAGAAGGAGAGCGAGGTAATGTAGAGATATTTGAACTATTGAACATGCAGATTGAGTTCAATGGGAGGATATTAGTGGATTAAATGCACATTGAATGATGAAATTTAAGATACTTTGGTTGGGGAGATAAGATGTGATGAAAAGGGGGAAGAATATCAATTTTAGTACAAACGCAATCGATTTAGTGTGTATCGAAGGGATTGTCTGAAACTCCTTGTTTAATTATGACCTCAAAACCGTAAAGATAAGTTCTATTGCGACTACATTTTGCATTCATGGAAGGATCAATTTTCTCTTAATCCCTACACTCAATGCAAGTGCATTTAATCTCAGCTATTATCTTCCCTTTGAACAGTAGAACAGATGAATGCAATGAAAGTACTTTGTGTCCCTCAATCGTATCATTGATAAAGGGAAGACCATTGAAATTGAGCAAGGATGGGAAGGCAAATATGTGAGAAAAAGTGATATTCATTTGATTATAAAACCCATTTTTTCCACTCCGTCCCCACAAAATATCATTTTATTCTTAAAATTATTTCAATTCTAACACTCATTTGAGTCATCTCGCAAAGGAAATTTGTCGCCTAAAAGGTGTAAAAAAAATCATGTAACTTTTTACACGAAAGATCGTTATAGGAAAAAAAACAAATTGTGTGAAATATTGCCAGGAATTGAAACGCACTTGTTACTAAATGCCAAATCCTCTTCCATATCTCATTTTTATTATTATTATTATTCACTCTCTGAACCCCTTTATCGAGTTTCGATGTATAGTATTTGATTTTGGGTTTTTGGTTTATGTGTAAATCTAACTCTCATGAGTTCCTAACGTGTGTAAATTCAATTACGAACATGCAAAGGAACAACAACCAAAAAATTAGGAATAAACTGAACCGCTGTTCTTTTCGCTGTTGAAAAACTAACAATCCAGTCAAAAACAATTGTGCATCATCGAAGTGAGAGTATTTATTATGAGTAGCCAAAAACGGAAACAAATTGCCAAAAAAAAATTCTACACTGTGAAATTAACGGAAATATAACATTTGGACAGAATCTAAAAACGATACACAAGAACTGAAGTTTCAGAGCCAAACGTTTCAGAGAAGAAAAATGAGATAAAAAGAGAACTTTTTAAAAGGAATAGTGAAGGAAAATTAATACTAAAAAAAAATCTCTCCGTATAAACATAAAATTTATTTTATATATGGTATATTAGGATTCATAACCCGAATAAACGTTTAATAAATTATACAAATTATACTTATTGATAAAATGGACAAAAAAAAAGTATTTACTAAGCATAGTATATTTAGGCAAGAAAAATGTTATGAAAGAAAAAACATGGTGAACATAATGGCATAATTCAACGTGGACAGGAAAAGAGTGTTGGGATGAAGAGAAGGCGCGAAAAGGTTGGGAGAATGATGAGTTGAGGACAAAGAGAAAATTTGCACAATTAGGATTTTAATTGTTTTACAAAAATAAAATAGAGAGCAAAGAGAGAGAAGAGGAGATGGTATGAACGAGAAGAGGCATCTTTAACTTGTTAGAACATTGCATAAAATCACGTATGATTGCAGTTTATTTTTCGATTGACAAAATATATCATCAAATCTCTATATTGCATTAATGCACTTGTGCGTCTTTTTCTTTCTTAATTGAAAAAAAAGAGTGTGAGAGAATAAAGGAGGAATGCAAGAATTTTCTTTGCAAAAATAGTGATGATATGCAGATTTTATCGAGGAAATCACTTCATTTTTAGAAGTTTACTGAAAAGAACAATGGACATAAGGAATATTGTAATTGTATTTAAATAGCAGAATAAGTACACATTCACACTTACACACACGATTGAAGAAGATGTGATCCTTAAAAGGAGAGCAAAATTAGGATCAATGAGGACAAATTGGTGGTGGAAAAGGAAATTTCCTCAATCGCCAATGTTGGAACACAAAATATTGAAAGAAAGAAAAAATGTTGTCGATTTCTCTCAATTTAGTAAATAATTTTTGGAAATTACAATATATTTTTTCAACTTTTTCGTAATTAGGCTGAAATATGTAAAGAACACCCCGAAACGGTGAATTTAGCAAAGTGAAAAATAGTGAAGTGAGAAGAAATATGTGTAATAGATGAGTTGAGGTTTAAGAAATAGTATTGATATTAAATTTGTCAATGTGATGTGGTAATGGTATAAGATAGGTGTGTTAATGAAAAGATATTCTTTCTTTTCACCCTCCTTTCCCCCCTACAAATCATGACATATAAAAGAGCACTGAAAACACTTAAAATGAGAGAATAATGACTCGTGCAAGAAGATGCAGAGATTGACGATGATAATTCTTCATGCAAGTGTGAATTCAGTTGAGATAGAATTGATAATTTCATGATGGTTTAGGGCTGAAAGACTGGCTTAAACTATAGCAGTGAAAATTAGGTTAGGACACCTTTGGAATTTAGGCCAATTTTCCCTTTAGTGCTAAAAATTCGATATTTCTTACAATTTTTGTGACATTTATCATAAGACAGAAAATGATCAAAATTTTATGATCTTTCAAATGGCGTTGAGATCAAGGCGATATCTCAATTCGGGGCCGAGATATTGTAAAATGCAGAGAGATGTGCGCAAAAGGATAGATAAAATTATGTTAGAATACGCCTTGAAATTGCAACAATAGTTCTATTATTGGATATTTACAGTACTGCAGTCAGGTTTATTACTTGGAAAAGTCTGTAAAATCAATCAGATACCAATTAGTCTTTATCTATTTCTCTGAAAGTTCGCACACTATAAGCCGTAGTAAGCATTGTACACCGGAATTACGCCGCGGAATTAAAAGCGCGAAAGACCGCGGTTTGAGCATTTCGGCTATCGCTGAAATGTTTTAAGTGACTCGCCATATGGTGTACAATGCACTTAAAAGCATATTGGCGAGCACAACACCTTTTGCAAATGTGAGAAATGTGCGGAGGAAGAGCAAGATTCCAAGTGCTCGCAGAATTGATGCCGGCAAGATTGCAGGCAGTAATAAGACAGCGTGAATATACGACAAAGAGGGGCGATTTCAAAGGGTGTCCTAACTTAATTTTCACTGTCTTTTTGCGCACATCTCTCTGCATTTTACAATATCTGGACCTCGAGAATTGGGGATATCATCATGATCTCACTTACATTATATGGCTTTAACACCCCATTGAGGGGCACAGCCGTCTCCATTAAAGGAGGATATCTAGACAAGTGTTTGTTTTACGGTGGCAGATTGTCAGTTTGCCGACCAATCATAAGTGGATCTAACGCCCACCTTTTATATATACAGGAACAGAGCGCGCAAGATAATTCAAGTGAAGCGTATATTTCAGCTGGAGCATTCAACAGCAACCGCTTGGGCTGCTCTAATTTGCCATTGAAAGGCTTATTTTTGCACTTTGCTGTGGTCGAACATTTGCAAGCGGTGGGATTCGAGCACACGACTGTAGCATCGAGAGTTAAGCGCGTTGACCACTGAGCCACAGCCGCCCGCGCCATGATCTCAACACCTTGTGAAAGATCATAGAATTCTGATCATTTTCTGTCTTAATATAATTGTCACGAAAATTGGAAAAAAATATCGAATTTTTAGTACGAAACGGATAATTGACCTAAATTTTTCGCTACTGTAATTCAAATCATGTCTGATTGCAATAAATATCCCTTCTTCTCACACAAAATCACTCATTTTCACAACACTTGCATTGAAGAATTGATCGTTACGCTGTCTTAATCACGATAGGATACTTTTTCCCGACAACAGAAATGTTCGTTGACAGTGAAATCTTATGTTTCTCACAATAAATGACACTTTGTGCCAAATTTTATTTGAAATCGAGCATAATTATAGAATCACAAGCCATATAAAATGTAAAATTTATTATTGTAAAAAAAGAAATTATTATGTAGGTGGTCGTAAAAAAAAAACACAAACACACACAAGAGTTCTTCCTCTGATTGTCACGAATGTGAAATATTGAAAAAAAACGAACGATTTAAACTGATGAGATTTAGTGAGAAAAAAATAGAAATAAACAGGGGAAAAGGCCAAACTCTCTGTAGAGCAATCATCAATTTTTCCAGTTAAACAGACGCGCACCGACATGAAAGTGCATTTATAAATGTACGCAATCTAAAAAAAAAGGAGAAAAAAAACAATGCCGCAAGGAACACACTGAAAAAAACGCTAATAAAAGGAGAAAAAAAATAGAGTAAATAAATGATAAAGTTAGAATACAAGTGACAAAGAAATTATAGTGTTTTAGAGAGAAAGAAAGAAGGAAAAATATGATGAAGAAAAGATTGAGAATAGAGATGAAATAAAAATATAATTACCATGTAATATTTGTCATAATGCACAAAACAACAATTATAAAGTGAAAAAAAGTGAAACATCGGCACCTAAAACGTGAAGAATATTAGGAAGAAAAGGTGTTGCTGAAGTAAATCGAAGTGATACAATTTTACTTGCTCACGAGGAAGATTGGAAAAGAACAGTATTCGTATCGAGTTTGGAAAGAAAGAAAAAAACTATCGAGTGATATTAAACAGCTCAAGACAAACTACACTAAATAAAAGCAAAAAAAAGGCTCAAGTATTTTTTGAAAAAGACACAAAAAATATCACTCGGGTTCGTAAGGAAGTAAAAAATTGGGAAATTGCTCAAGAAATTAAGAGAATTGTGAGAAAAAATCAGTTCTTAAATTGATTTCACACACAGAAAAAAAATTTATTAGACCCGAAAATATTAAATTGAAACAAAACTTAATGTGTTGTTCAGAAATTTCAAGGAAAAAAAAAGATATCACAAAAAGAGTAAGAAAACGCAACAGAAAAATAGGAAAATTATTTGTAATTGATAATAAGGAGAAGTTGAATGAAAATTGATAACCTGACACTGCCCTAATCCCTAAAAAAAAATTATGGTTAATTAGCTAAAAGAAGAATAAAGAAAAAAAACACAACACACACGTCACGTATTCGTAAAACATTAAAGAAGAAGAGGAGAAAAATGAGGTTAATCATCACTTTAATATACATGAGGAACATGAAATAAAGGAAAAAAAATAAACTAAGAACTGGATTCAATACAATATTTTTGTGAATTATGAAAATATATAGCAACAGAAAACGAATCGACGTACGTAATCGATTTATTTATAAAAGAAGAAAGAAGAAAAAAATATATATAATTAACGACAAGGCAACAACCGTTAATCTGAGAAAGAGAAGAAGATGAAAAAAGTGACATGAAGAAATAGCTCGAGTCATACTAAATAGAGATTAAAACAAATATTTAAATTCAAATAATTAAGATAAAACGTACATATATTTAATAAATATATAAAGAATTACTAAACGGGTTAATATAATATATAAATTCACGCATGAAATGGTAAAAAAAAAATTCAAAAAATAATTATATGCAAATTACATAAAATTAATTGATTAAATAATGAGAGGAAAAGAAAAAAAAACTAACGTTTTGTATAGAATATTTCTGTTAAACTATGTATAAATTACTTACAAATAAATAAATTTAATCGCTTAAGGAGTATGTGATTTACCAGAAAAACAAACAACCTAATCTTTTTTATCCCAAATTGATCACATTTCCCTTCTTCGCACGCAGAGAATCTTCAGGGTGTTTAATGTGTCAAATGATCCTTAATAATTTTCCTGTGAAGATTTCTCAATCATGTTGGTGAAAAAGACAATTTTCATTCCGAGGAAAAGTGTACAATTTTATTCAATCAACTAGATTTTATCATCACTCGCAATAGCAAATTACCTGGAATGCACATTATTTCGTATAATCTTCATATCGCAGTTGGACCAAAAAAATATTGCAAGATTTCTTCCCGCCTTTTGACGCCGTCACATGGCGACGGCGATTTTCTTCTTCGTGAACCACCGCTTCTTGGTCTTCTCCTTGCCCGCGGACGTGGCCGATCCCGTGGAAATTGCATCATCCTCAACTCCGCTGCCACTCTCGCTGGTCTTCCGGCTGCTCGGCGTCAGGAGCTTCTTGTACCACTTGCCCTTCTTGCTGCCACTCGTGCTGGACGGACTGATGGAGTCGCTGGGACTGAGTGAGCTCGTGGACAGTTGCTTTCCCGGCGCCTCTTGTGTGCTGCTCAACTCCCACATGGACACTGTGCGCATCTTCTGCGGCGGCGGCATGATCTTCCTCTGTGGCTCTGGGCTGTAAGACTTCTTGAGCACCAGCACGGGCTTCGAGGAGTTGTAAATGGGATGAATGGGGCTCGTGTCGTCCGCCTTGATGGCCAATTTGGACGCTTGTGGTGTGTCAACTTCGGTGATTGTGATGCGCGGATTGGCTGGCAGACTGGCCAGTGTCTCTGCCTGTGTATTCTGGATGGATTGCTTCAGCTTGTCCCAGTAGTTGTACAACTTTCCAGATCTCTGATAATGGAGTACGAAGTAGAAGCTGAGATTCGGTGGCAGAAGAACGTTCTCATACACACAAGGGATGATCATTCTGCGGCGCTTTTCTACCCAACAGAGAAAGAGATAAAGCCGATAAGACGAAACATCAAAACACCATCAATTGTCGTCACAAAACTCACCAATACTGTAGTGTTGCGCCATGTTCATGAAGAATTTATTGGCTTCACTCTGCAGGAAGGCTCGGGTCACGATCATGATCAACTTATTGCATCTGTCCGCTATCAGTCGACAAATCGCATCGTGCTCAAAATGTCCGGCCTTCAGGTCGCGACTCTTTTCGCATAGCTGCAAGACGACACAGAGATAGAAAACGGTGTTGATTACAATAAATTCCATTAAAGCTACAAAATCTCTCTCTCCCCGCCGAAAAAAAGAGAGACATTCAGCGATAACATCAATTACGCCAGTAGTAAAGTTCCAGAAATAAAAATGTTTTGTTTGGACAATTATTTGAGGGACACTATCGAAGTCTTGTTATCGCTGTCGAGGAAAATCTTCACTCTTATTTCCACTTCTGTCGCACGATATCTCGACAATTAGGGAAGAAACATTCACCATCAGCTGATCTTCGTCATCGTCTTGGCACTTTTTCACGTACGCGCTGACAATAAGGAAGGGAAAGAGTGAATATTTTGCACGGACGAGAATGCTCATTAAGACTATCAGCAAATTAGAGAGTCAGAAACGTGTGCGCTCCTGCAATGTTCATCGATCATTGTCGGGGATTAGTGTGTATTTTGGGCCAGAGAGAAAGCACGGAAAACGAGACCATATCTATCTTAGGCATAGTATCGCGTGGAGGACAACTTTTGCACCGAAGACTCATGTGAGATTTACTATGAAATCTGCCTGGACAGATTTCAATTCCAGTCACGCAACTTTTTATGATGCCTTCGCAGAAGAACAGTGTGACTCACCTTGAAGCCACTGTCTTCGAGGCGCTCAATCAGCTCCGTGGCATATTCGATGTCCTCGTCGGCGAAGAGGACGAAGGCGTCGTATCTCTGCGGATTGCCCGGAGCGTCGTCATTGGTGAGAACATTGATGTCATCGTCGAAATGTGTCTCAGACTCACTCTTGTCCGGCAGTGCGACAATCATGGTTTTCGCTGTGAGGAAGATTTCCGCGTCTTCCACTGAAAAAGTGCGCCAGCGATAAGAGAGAAAGAGAGGAGGATGTTATCGGCTGACCGGGACGCGGAATTTGCGCTCTTGACTTACGGAATGACTGATTGGTGTCGTCCACCACGTCCCATCGATCAATGATGCCCAGAATGCGCTGCAGCTCCGCCAGGCTGATCACCTCGTCCGTGCGCTTGCCCATCATCTCCAGCAGCTTCACCGTGGCGCTGCGCTGTGACGCCAGGAAGGCCGTCTCGCGATTCCGGAAGCCCAGGAAGTCCACCAGGCCGCGCCAGTCGCGCTGCCGGCCCTCCTCCGACGGCAGGTACTTGATGGGGTCCAGCAGTATGGCCAGCAGCTCGCGCGACTTGGCCCGGAGCGCCGTCACGGGCACGTCGTAGAGATTGATGCGCGCGTGGGCGTTGCTCACAAAGTTCTCCCGGACCGATGAGTTCACCATCGTGCACATTGCCCGAGCACTCGCACAAGACTGCGGAACCGTCTATCGCTGCAAGATAAGGGACACAGGTATCACACAAAGGCTGAGCCAGAGGCCCTTATCAGCGAATTACCCACAATTTATCTCCTCGCAGAAACTTCCTCGCGCCCAGAGAGCAACAGGTCAGCACATGTGGAGGGGCACGGCACGGGTGGCGAGCGGGCTAATGGGGAGAATTGGACAGTCACGGCGACAGATAAGGTGGGAATTGTGGAGGATTGTGATGGGCAGGAAAATTGGTGGACAAATAGAGAGGAAAAATAACACATGAAAATGACGAAAATAAAGAGCAACAAAAGACAAGGTTGTCACTTTTAACTGCGCGACCCCAACACGCGGAGCGCTGAGAGCGGTTGGGGAGCAAAATAAATCAGGCGGGATCGCACTTTTTCCACTTAAATTTCTTATCAATCCCTGCTCCGAAGGGATAAATTCACCCGGGGATGGAGCAATTAAGACCTCCCTCTCATTCTTTCTTCATATCATGTGCGGGGGAAGTAATTCAGTGATGAAGAGGCCTGATTTTCACGAATAAAGTCATGGGCGAAGAGGGTCATGTCGCGATTGGGCGCAGTGGAAGTGTCAGTTTTATTGTCAACAACTCCGCTGAGCAGCATTCTTCAGTGAATTCCAATGGGGAAACGGAAGAAAATGAGTGCAAAAGACCAACCAGAGATTATTCACGTGAACATCGCCCCGGATTTCATCTTGTGCAACGTGGAGTACGAGAGTTGCGGCGAGAGTGGTGAGGAAAAGGAGATGAGAAAGAAGACTGAGACTCCGCCAAAGGATGGAAGTGTCATCAAAGAGACGTAAACATTGTAGGAAATCCTTGGAATTTTGAGTTATTCTGGGCTTTTCTTTTCCACGCGAACAGGAAGAGCAAGAGGAAGAGTGAGGCTGCCAAAGAGATCTTCTGCCAGACGTGCGGGAAGATGTTTACGAGGCAGAGACATCTCACACGTCACGAGGTCATTCACACGGGCGAGAAGCCTTTCAGCTGCGATGTGTGCCAGAAGAGATTCAACAGGAAGGACAAGCTGGTGAACCACCGGCGTTACCACAAGGTGCCAAAGGAGGAGGACGAAGCGGAGGAGAATGAGGACAAGGACGAGCTGAAGTGCAACTTCTGCGGTGAGACGTTCAGTGACAAGGATCAGCTGCGATTCCACAAGAAGATTCACGCCAGCTCGCATGAGCTGCTCACCTGCATGATATGCAAGAAGATGTGCAGCACCACTGATGAGCTGCGGCAGCACTACTTCACCCACACTGGAAGCGTGCAGAGCAAGGAGAGCGGCGAGAAGGCGCAGGTGTTCGATTGCCAGTATTGCTACAAGAGCTTCCTCAACGGCGAACTCCTGCGGGAGCATCTCGTGTTCCACGGCATGACGCCCTTCAGCGCGGACGACGTCGTGCACAAGTGCACCATCTGCGAGAAGACCTTCAGCCAGGCCGCTTCGCTGCGCCAGCACATGATCACGCACAGCAGAGATTATCCGTGCACCTGTTGCGAGATGACGTTCAATCGCCGAGACAAGCTCAGCACGCACATGAAGATGCACGAGAACGCAAAGGAGTTCCTGTGCACGAAGTGCGGCCGCAGCTTTGAGAACATGTTTAAGCTGGATCATCACATGCGCGTGCACTTCGGGAAGACTGACCACATGTGTCTGATCTGCAACAAGCACTTCCAGGTGCGACTCGAGGAGTCTCTAAACATCTTATTCTGCTTGCTAACTTCTCTCTCAATCTCATTGCAGATGGCGAAGAATCTCAAACGCCACATGGTTGTGCACACAGGCTTGAGACCATATCAGTGTGACCTTTGCGGCAACACGTATCCGAGGAGAGACAAACTCACGGCTCATCTTAAAGTGCACGCGAACCGAGGGGAGATGGCTCTGAAGGATGCCTTTGCGCCGAAGAAGCTTATAGAACCGGTTTATCCGGTGTTTTCGGATGATCCGACAGTGAGAGATGATGAGGAACGTGGTGAGGAATTAGAAGATGCTCAAGTGGAGGAGGAAAAACCCTCACCGCTGCCTGGAGAGGCTCTGGAGGATTCGTCAGAGAATCTGGGACAGACTCTCAATCATCCATACATTGATCCTGACGACGAAGACGACGACGATGAGGAGATCTACGACTGTGTTTACTGCTACAAGAGCTTTCTGCAGCGAGATCTTCTGCAGACGCACTTGGAAGATGTCCACGATGCCCACTTGACGGAGAAGATCTTCCTGGAGCAGGCGCAAGTGTGTTGTCCCATCTGCAACAAGGAGTACGGTAGTCAGCGGGCGCTGAAGCGACATCTCCAGACGCACAGCAAGGAGAAGACGTACAAGTGTCCAGAATGTGCCATGAGCTTCGATCGGTTCTATCCACTGGTGGCTCACATGAAAGTCCACCAGCGCTCGAAAGCCTTCCCATGCAAGCTCTGCGGACGCTCCTTCGACGATGCCACGCGTCTGGAGTACCACATGAAGATCCACACGAATCAGAAGGACTTCAAGTGCAAGATCTGCAACGTTGGCTTCCAGTCGACGAAGAATCTGCGGCGCCACATTCAGTCCATTCACGTGTCGGAGAAGCCCTTCAAGTGCCCCGAGGAAGGATGCAATTATGCGTTCAGTCGCAGAGACAAGTACAGCGCTCACGTGCGAAGTCATCAGACGGTGCCGAAGAAGAAGTCGCGGAAGTGCGTCAAGTGCCAGATGGTGTTCAAGAGCAGTGAAGAGGTGAAGGAGCACATGTTGGTGCATCTGAAGTTTCTCGACTGTGATCAGTGCGAGGAGAAGTTTGCCAGGAAGAAGGACTTGGCGCAGCACAGGAAGTCACATGAGAAGTCAGAAGATGTTTCGTGTTCGGTGTGCAGTAAGAAGTTCAAGCTCAAGCGATATCTCAAGGCGCACATGAAGACACACGGGAAGGTGGAAGAGCTGCAACAGTGTGAACATTGCGAGGAGACGTTCGAGACTGAGGTGAGTTTGAGGACACAAATATTAAGTAACTCAGTGTTCTGAGAGATCCTTATTTTGCTGATTGTTGCAGAGTCAACTGGAGCAACACACGAAGAGTCACATTGATCGCAGTGAAGCCATAGGACTGAATGTGTCGATAGAACAGGAAAGACAGCCTAGTTTAGAAGACATTCAAACGTCCAGCCAAAATAGTTAAGGATAAACAATTTCAGTAACATCACGTAAATTTTCTTTTATTTATGTGATATCCTTCAGATGAGTAAGTTTTGAAAAAAGCAATGGATTTTATTACAATTTTTTTTCTTGGTTTCTTGTCTGGTAAATTTGACGATTTTTTTTTTTAAATTACTGTGAGAGCTTACATTGAATCGTATTTATTCCATATTTATTTATACAGATCTTCTCTTTTATATATACCTTTTTTATATTTCTCTCTCTCTCAATGAAAATGACAAAGTCGTTTAATATGTTATATATATAAGAAAAAGCTCTAAATGTTATTTTCGAAATGCATAAAATGGTTTCTCCTTTATGGAAATTTCTCAACTTTTCTTCCTCGTTTCGGGGCTGGTGAGATGTTCTCCGATTGCATCAGATTTTCTTTTTTTCTTTCTTGTTTCTTCAACGCGAATTGTTTATCACAGTTTTTGGTAAGAGAATGTCTGATGTTTTATAGTGTTTTTTTTTTCGACGTTATGCTCAATATGGTTCCGATTTTGTTTACTCTAGGATCTATCATCGTTTTTTTAAAGGCTCCTTGTGTGTTGGACATTTTTTTCGAGTTTTTCTTCCTCACATTCACTATAGTTTACGCGACTGCTTAGTGGAGGATGCTGACGAGGATGAGTGACAGGAGGCCCAGGGAGACGCCGAATCGTGACGCCTCGCCGCAGAGCTCAATCGTGCTCTCCTTGTCGTGTGTGTTGATGCAGCTGACCGGGCGCTTGCGCTGCAGATCGTTGAAGCGGATCTTGTGGCAGGCCAGCGAGCCGTTGTAGTCGAAATTCATGGCCATGGTGGACAGGATGATCTCGGGATCGCTGATCGGGCACAGAGTGTCCACCACGAGGAGGATGAGGTTGCTGTAGGAGATGGGCGTGACCACGAAGGGACGCTCGCAGCCGCTGGCGGGCTTCTTGAACACCGTCTTCTCCTTCTCCATGTTGAGCTGATACAGTGTGATCACCTGATCGCACGTCTCTGGTCGGGTTTTGTTGATCAGCACTCGCCGATCGAACTCCGGCTCCTTGGCTTTCGGCAGCTGACCGCCGTAGGGTTCCGTGGGCAGCACGAAACCATCGTAGCTCTCTGGGTAGTACAGATCATCGGCTGCGTAGGAGTAGGCATTGTAGGCTTCCGTCGGGAGGATCAGAAGTTCCACCAGGAAAAACATAACAAGACGACCGAAAGATTGCAAGAGTTGCAAGAGAAACTTGAAGGGCTGGAAGAGAGGGACGAATTTCACAATCACGAGGACAATTCACAAGTCAAATAAAACTCACATTCATAAGAATTCCCGCCACATTCGCCGATTCGTTCTTGAGCGCGAAGCAGACGGATTGATAGTCATAGATCAACACTTGTTTGTAGATGTTCTCATCCACAAGACGCTGCATTATGGATCCCTTGACTTCGCCAAAGAACTTGCCCGTCTCTGCAATCTCAGGACTGACAATCACATAGCCATTGTTGTCCAGGATGTAGCAATTGATTCCGTCTGAGGCGCAGGTTTTCGAGCAACTCGCGTCGCCGCAATTCGCTGTGATGTTGCGGAACATCGTGAGCAAGGCGGAGTGTTGAAACTGGAAGCCAACAACAGCCACTGGAGCGGATTTTCCACCATCCGAGTGGAAGATCGCGTGACTGGCCGTGACGAGGGTGTCATTTGTGTTCTGGATTTCCTCCGCAGCGTCAAATGGCACTGAATAAGTGAAGCTCGTCGACTCGACAAAGTGTTGTTCAACGGCGCGTTTGTACCAAATTTCATCCACAGCTCGCTTGTTGACATCACTGAAGCTTTGACTGCAAACACAGAAGGAATGCAAGGAATTAGTTATGCAGAGAATTGAGTGAATGGCATTCTTCAGTTACTCAGATCGAATTTCTTCCACGGAATTGCTGTAGAACTCTTGCCATCGCATTAAACCACTGTGAGTCGCCATGAAGGCTACGGTTATCCCAAAGCGCTGCTTGAACTCATTCCTGAGCGAGAGAGACAGAAAAAGGTAAATTGATTAGGGAAACAGTGCAATATTAAGCTTGATGTGATGTTTGGGAACACCTGAAAATTACCTGAAATTCCCAGCTAGGTTGATAGAGACAAGACAAGCTTAAAACTATGCTATCAATTACCTTGGCAAAAGACCCATTAGCACAGCAATGGGACTTGGACTATTCCACAATGAGGTGCAATTCGTTTAATGTTAGCGAGTTAGCAAAGGGTGCAAACGATAGTGCAATTCCACTTAGAACTATACAATCTTACACTAAATCCGAATTTAATTGTAATTCAGCTGTGGAAAGTAAAACTCACCCTTTGTCGTCTTTGAGATTCTGTGTTGCATTCCACCAACTCGTAACTTTTGCGTCGTAAACCAGGGATTGCATGAGATTTCGGTCACCTGGAAGTAGAGCATTGAAATGTACACTATAGAGAGTGTGTTTGATTGGCAATTCAGGAGTAAATCCTCAACTGTCACGAGTGCAATTCCTCAGCTAACTCTGTGCACAGTGCATGAATATCTTGAGTATAATATATATAAAGTGATTGCTTAAGTGTTCGACAGTGCATTGTAAAAATCATATTGGTGAAAAATTGAAGAGTGCATTTAAAGTGGACTCTTAAAGAACTTGTTGCGATCCAACTACTCACAGTAGTACTGATCCTTTTCTGATTTTGACGCTGAACGTCCTGAATTGTTAGCTGTGGAGTTGCAAGAACTATCATCACAACAGACACAAAAACATCCTTCATCGCGCTCAATCCGCGTCACTGACAATATTAGCAAGTCGCGTGCATCACGAGATAGTTTTGGAACTTACAGTAATTGAAGCTGGCCGCGTGCTCGGGTGGCGGAGGCGTTCTATTTGTCGGCCAGCGCCATCCTGGCTTGCTCATGTTCTTCAGCACGTCCTTCAGCTCATTCTCCGGACTGCTGTAGAAGCGATGCTTGCTCTTGCAGTAGATCCAGTCCGGATGAATGCTCCAGTGTGTGCCGCTGAAGAAGTCAGTGAGATTGTGTCCCTGCGCCAGGAGTCGGTGTATCTCATCCTCCGTGCGAGGTTGGATCCGATTCACACCGTAACTCTCCGGATAAGTCACGACCAGTGAGAAGGCGGACTCCTTCAGTGGTGTCCAGAAGTACTGGCGCTTTATGCGGGACACTCTCCGCTGAGGAGCAAAAAGGAGATTAGAGAGATATTGTGACATTGCTGGGGAATTGTAAGAACTCACCATGTTGTCCAAATGATATTTCACCAGCATCCATTTGGACCCATTCGACTGATTTATAATTGAGTCTCTCATCTGAAAAAATCGGTGAATTTAAAGTCAATCTGCACATGCGATGAAGACGAGGTGAATTTCTACCTCTATGAGATTCTCATTGAAATCCCTCGGATCCCTATCATCATCCATTAGTTCCACTTCGATCATATCCACAGCGTTATACGCCGGCTTCAAGATGCCCTGGAAGATTGGTCTCAGATCTGGATGAATCAGAACGTAGCCGTTGTTAGTGACGATGAAAGCATATCCATTGACCCCAAGCTGGAAAGAGAGTCGAAATGATTAGATAATATCCTATTTGTATGTCTTAAATCTGTACACCACTTCCTGACACTTCTGAATGTTTTTTAAGACGTTTTCCAACGCTTTTTAGACTCTTTCAACTGGTTTTCAACACTCAATTATGATTCATCAGAATCTAATCTAAGTTTTGTCGTCAGAAAATGTCTTGAAAAATTCTGATTAAATTGTGAGGTCCAAATTCGACTTTAAGAAATTCCTTTTGGGCTAATTTAGATCTTTATAAACCCTGGAAATGAGTAAATATAGTGAATTTCTGCATGTTTCTACTAGATATTTAGGTTGAATTTATCAGTTTAAAGCAAAAACCGTGGAAATAACTAAACAAAGAAACATTCTTTTAGACTGAAATTATATTTTTTGAGGTTATAATTGATTCTTAAGCTTTTTCTTAACTATAATATGAAGTTTTTCCGAACAACAATGTTCAAATTTGCCAAGAAAAAGAAAAATATTCTCAGCCTGAGGGCTGAGTCTTGAAAATGGTCAAAATCAGAATCAACAGAACCTCATCGATTTTTAACTTGTTGACATGATCACAATTTTGAAAGTTTTGTGAGTCTTGAGTCAAAATCAGTCTTCGGAATTTTTCGGGAGGGGAAATGCTTTCGGAACGCAGGCAGAAACGTCATTTTGTTGTTTTGATTTGAGCCAAGTTGAGATGTTTGAGGCAGAAAATGATAAAAATGCTCCACAAGCCTAACGTTTACCCCAAGGAATCATCATGGGGTGTCTACCCACGCCTTAAGAAGGCTAAAAATTAACCCTCGGGCGACAAATATGTGAATAATGTGCATTATTAACATACAGATGTTCTCCTGCGGTTACACGAGAAGTCCCAGGAGTAGAATGAGACTTCTGCGAGTGATCTTGAGGTGCCCCACGAGATGGGGATCGACTTCCTCCCCTTTGCAAAAATTTCTCCATCCATTTTTTTGTCCAACCAATTGTTCATCTTCTGATTACACTTGGATTTGTCTTATATGTTCACATGTTCAGTTCATTGATTCATGAGACTTAAGCACTAAGCAAAGGGCGAAGAATTTGGGAATTCCATCCAATTAAAGATACCTTCAAAACTGAAAATGTTTATGGCAAGGATTATGTATGACATAATAAAATTTGGATTATCGTTGCCTCGACACTGCAAAGAGGGACTCTCAGGGACTAGGTAGCGCGCATGGAAAGAAACTATTTTCCGTCTCTGAGCCTCTTACGCGAGCGCAAGAAAAGAGATGCTTATATCTCAGCAATAATAAGGAAAATTATCAATATAAAATTAAAAACAATTAGAATAATTATTCTATTATCCATTTCCGATGCCATCGATGGCCATTTGATACTCTAATTGAAGTAAAATCTTAAAATTGAGACATTGAGAAATCGTGTTGACTCGATGTTCTCATGTCAACACGAGTTGATTGATTTTAAGCCAATTTTGACTCGGTTTCTGACTGATTTTTACTCAAGACTCGCAAATTTCTCAAAATCAGTCAATTTCCACTGATTCTGATTTTGACGAATTTCAAGACTCAGCCCTCTGAACTCAAATTTGATGATTTTGAGAGTTATTTAATCATCTGAATCTGTTTTAAATCAATAAAATAACCTAGAAAAAGCAATAAATGATTTTTTGAAGCATAGCTTATAAAGAAATGCTTCAATTTATTGAAACACAAAAGCTGCACACCATTTCTGACCATAATATCTGCCCCTTGAAGACAACAACTCACCATAAAAGGCATCATAAGTCGCTTAATGTCCTTTATCGGAACATCCGTGCCTGCGACTCCCAGGAGGTTGGCAATTTTAGTCTAGAAGTAGTTGAGAAACTCTCATTAGCACACGTATTTTCAGTGTTTTTCGGCAATTTCTGGGAAAAATCCAGATAACTATGAATTTAAATATATGTATACTGCATATATATAGCACGTAAAACATTATAAAAATATAGAATTTGGTCACTTTCGACTCTATCGATCTATTCCAATATCATGATCCAATACTCGATACGCCCTAACTAAGATTCAAGATAGGAAGTAACGATAAAAGAATTTTTACTATGTTTCAGTAAGTTTTTTTTTTAATGCTACCTGGAAGAAAGCGTTTTAATATTTGTTTATTGTTTAAAACTGTAAAAAATTACTAAATTCTAGTGTATAATAAACCAAATTTCTACATAGAAAAACTTGTTGTAATCTGTTTTACCACAAAAAACCACTTCTAGTTTGGATTAAATGTAAAGTCGCTAGTCGCTATGACACTATCTTCTAAGGAATTCGACTTTGTACACCTCCAATTCAACAAGGATGACAATATGGCGGTTTTCACTAATTCAAAAAAATTGTACCTATTGTAAAAAGTACTAATTAGTATATGATTGGTAAATATTTGCAATTATATGTATAAAAAAAAGTAACAAAGTTGTACAAAAATTATAGTAAAATAACCAAAAAAATACTCTAGAGCCGCCTTTTTTCTCACAAAAAATTCTCTCTCAACGCAAAAAACTTGTTAGTCTTTCTGGTAGGAATTCAATAAAATACCTCACGTGTTATCGTGACCCAATATGCCTCGTTAACTAGAATGTCTTCCGTTATATTCTGAAGTGTGAAATTGTGATTTAATAAAAAAAATTATATACTTAGAAAATGTCACACAATTTTTTTTTCGCAAAAGCCCACTCAAAAAGAGAAATCAGTTAGATATATTGTCAGATTGTCTTCTCACTCTCGAGTGAGAAGATTAAAGGGATTTTTTTTGCTGAAAATCAGAGAAATTCCATTACGATATCTTCTGGTTTTTCTATACTCACGGCATTTTCACGCCTATCAAACACGGGCATTGCAACTGTTGTCATGAAATGATACTTGTCTGATTCCGTGGATTGATCTAGGTTCTGAAAGAAATTTCTTTTGTAGTCTCAGCAAATTGCTAATGCTGCTCAATCTACCTTCTTGAGTTTATAGCGGTAGCGACGATCCTGTTCGTCTGGATGGTGGAAGGCTGAGTAGTTCTTGCGCTGACTCATGAAGCGCTCTCTTTGCTCCTCGCGCTCCCGAATCTCCCACTGCCAATCCGTCATCTTCGGGTCGATCTCGTCTGCGTACACTTGAGTCCAGACGATCGGATGGTGAGTCTTGTTGAGGACCAGCGGTCTTGCCATGACTGGAATGTAGTTCAGCACCTGTTCTCTCACTTCCGCCATCGTGCTGAGATGCACATAATATCCGCGATTCTCGCACGCCATCCACTTGATCTCCTTCACATCCGCCACTTCGCGTCCTATCAAGTACGTGAACATCCTCACAGGGATGTAGGGCCAGTTGTAGTACTCAAATATGTCCTGATACTTGTACGGCACGCCGTCCGAAATGAGCATAATCGCCTGATTGCATCGCGCTCCGACTCGATCATTTCGATACTCTTCCAGCAATTCGAAGGCTCTTATCAGTGCCGCCGTGACATTGGCAATCTCCTCCGTGCGCAGACCTTCCATGCCCATTTTCAGCTGTCGAATATTCTCCATGTTCGCCTGCACGAGCATATCGCGGAAGCATGGCACGATCTCGTCCACGCCGAGGGAAAAGTTGAAGATGTTAACAAAGTCATTCGTGCCGAGAGTGTCGAGAATGCTGTTCACCACGTGCTTGGCAATGTCGTTGCGTTGTCCAGTCATGGAGCCGGAAGAGTCAACGAGAATGACTATGTCTTTGGGACTGTTGGCCGCCTCGATGTACCATGATCTCAGGCGACAATCGTACAAATCCACGGGATCCTCTTGCCACTTGGAAGCGGGGAATTGACGCATGAATCCCGTGGAACTTCCGAAGAATTGCCATGACAGAGTTGGATCATTGTTGTAGTTATCCCTGAAGATGCTGTCCAACTTCTCTGACCACTCAATTGCCGAGATCACTTCGATTGCTGAAAGAACAAGAATGGTTGTTCGTGAAATAACTCTTAAAATAATTAAGAAGAACTTACATCGATCGTAAACATTTGTCGGCACGTGAACTGAGCTGTAATTCGTGTTCACGCGAACGTTGAAGAAGTGTGGTTCTGGCGTGAGACTTATCTCCTTCGGCGGTATCAGCTTCTTGGGCTCTCCGTTGTCGTCAAGATCTCTGGGATCAGCTGTGGGTGGAGCCTCGCCGGGTTCAATCATTTCCTTCGCATTGTAGTACTGAAAGTCCTGATCGGCTTCCTTGTGCTCATAAGACAAAGCCATATTCTCAGCCGCATCCATGATGCGCTGAAAAGAGTTCCAAGACTGAATTCCAAGAATAAACACCAGAATTTCCAACATACCTTCACAGCACTTATTCTTGACTCCATCAAGTAGTGAATCTCCTTTGCCATTTCATCAGCAATTTTCAGTCCGGATCGTGGCACAACTTGAGCTTGCTTAAAGCTCTGCAAAAAGGACAAAAGGAATTGTGGTAATAATATCTCGACTATTGCAAATGCGAAGGCAGTTCATCAGCACTCACATCTTGAACTAGTTTCCGTCGCGTTATAAACTCTCCAACATGCCAGAGCTCAATGCCCAACTTCTCAGCCCATGCGTGAACCCTGGTGAGATTTATGGGAAAGTCAATTGGGAGCAGTTGACAAGTGGGTGAAAAATGGGTAGAAAATCCCCCTTACAATCCATATTTGATGTTTTCGTCCGCACGCGGGTCCCTCGATGGAATCACTGTGCTCGGAATGAGAATCAGGCAGCAGAGAAGAACGCCGAATGCATTCATGGTGAAAATATATTTTCCTCCACGAGAACACTCTCAAAAGTTCCACCCTCTCATTTTTATCACTCCACTTTTCCACCACTTATCAGCATTTTCCACACTATTTGCACACACAAATCAATTGTCTGCGCGCCAGTGATGAGTTTGATGGTGAAAATGAGGCGATGGAGTTTGAAAATGAGTCAATTTTTCTGGGTTTTTCCACTGAAAGCACTAGAGGTGAAAATTTTCTCTCACTGTATTTGTCACTTCTGGAAAAATCTGACATTCCCTCCAGTCAGCCCTCCAACCCCCTGGAATTTCCCTGTTGCTGGTCTTTTCTACGCAAGTGCTCGAAAATTTCCACGCCGAATCACAGAGTTCGTTGCTGTTTGAATTGAATAAAACGAAGGAAAATTGCTCCCATATAATTCCAATTTATTTCACACGAATTTCTTAAGGAAGTTCTTGGAAGGTTTCTAATTTCTGCGAGATTGTCTGGATGCTGGACGAGCGTGCATTTGAAAACTGATGCAGGCAACTTCTCGCTTGCCAATCTGGCCCATCAGAGTCACATTCCAATAGGAGATGCTCTTGGAAGCCGGCATGTACTTGGTGAGGGCGTCATCAACCTGCCAAAAGGTACTTTATTAACTTCTCTTGAATCATTTTATCAAACTACGCGTTTTACCACAAAATTCTCCATATGATATGTGACTTGTTTGAGAGGACACTTCAAAGGAGGCTTCAGCGAGCGAACGAATGCACTGTAAGATGGCAATGGAAGTTCCAGCATCATGCAAATGTCCGAAGTTGCCATGTTGTTGAGGAATGTCTTGCAGGAGTCGGAGATGGCAGGATTGGAGCACTTCTTGATGTCAATCACGAGATTGAAGCCCTTGGGAAAGTTTTCCCGCAAAATAATATCTCCGCTCACGTGATAATGATGACGATCTGCTTGCTCTATTCTGAAGTCGGGAAGATAGACCGGAAGATTTTCCTTGCCTTTGCATTGGCCCAGGAATGTCAGGATGAGTTGGCGATCCACTTGATCGGTTAGAACATTGTTGAACAAGTTGTTGAAACTGAACAAGACTAGGAGAAACACGATAATCACATTCATGGCGCTTCTGCTGAGTTTAGACCACTGAATGAGGAGATAAATTGACGGTAAGCATGTTAAATAGCAATAAACTGATTGTTGGATCCAGATAGAGTAATGAGGTATGAAATGTATCGCTCATTAAAATCATAATGCTCATTGGACAACTTTGAAGCAATTATTCGCGTTGGAATTCAATTTTGTGCCATGAAAATACTGAATGTTCTCATTTTCAATCAGAATTCTACTAAAAATCCATATTAAGACTGATTAATAGATATTATATGAGGAAGAAAAGTCTATTTTAAGCAAGGACTTTATTCAATTTCTCTGATATTGCTTAGACATTGGACGTGCGTGCATTTGGACATTCACGCACGCAATTTCTCGCTTATCTAATCGTCCAAACACGGTGATGTTCCAGTAAATGATGTTTCTGGAAAGCGGCATGTATCTGGTTAAAGTGTCGTCAACCTATCGAATAAGAAGCATAAATTAATCATTTATCAGTTTAGAACTTTACTGGAAACTCACCGTGAATTTCTCAATGTGATATGTTGTGTCTTTTAGAGGACAAATTAGGTCAGGCTTTATTGAGTGAAGAAATGAACTGTAAGACGGCAAGGGAACCTCTAACATTATGCAAAGATCCGATGTAACCATGTTGTTCAATAGAGTTCCACAGGAATCAGGAACATTAGGTTTAGAACACTTCTGAATGTCGATAAAGACACTAAAACCATTCGGGAAAGCTTCTCGGAAGATTATGTCTCCCGTGGTTTGGTAATGATGACGATTGATCTGCACCACTGTGAAGTCTGGCAAGTACACGGGAAGATTTTCTTTGCCTCTGCACTGTCCTAATGAAGTCACGATGAGTTGTCGGTCTCTGATGTCGATGATGGAGCTTTGCAAACTTATTGGCACAAGAGTGAGAAGCACGAAGAGAATCTTCATGGTTTTTCTGCTGTGTTTGAGCACTGAATGAGAAGACAAATTGGTGGCAAGCATGTTAAATAGCAATAAAGCGATGGTTGACTTAGATTGAGTAATGAGGTACGAAATGTATCATTAATATCATGATGCTCACTCATTGGACAATTTTGAATCATTTGTTCGCTCATAAAAGGAAAAAAGCTTGTTTTATAAGCAAGGATTTTATTCAATTTCTCTGATTTTGCCTGGACATTGGCTGAGCGTGCATTTGAACATTCACGCAAGCAATTTCACGTTTCTCCAATCGTCCAAACACGGTGATGTTCCAGTAAATGATGTTTCTGGAAAGCGGCATGTATCTGGTCAAAGTATCAACAACCTGCCAATTAAGAAATATAATTAATTATTTAAACACAAACCTCTACAAAAATATAACTCACAGTGTATTTCTCAATGTGATGTGTTACATTTCTGAGAGGACAAATGATGGAAGGCTTCAATGCGCGAAGAAAGGAACTGTAAAATGGCAAAGGAGCTTCCAACATCATGCAGAGATCCGATGTGACCATTTTGCTTACTAGCGTTCCGCATGAATCAGAAACATTGAATTTGGAACACTTTTGAACGTCGACAAAGATATTGAAGCCATTCGGGAAGGTTTCTCGGAAGATTATGTCTCCAGTGACTTGATAATGATGACGATTGATCTGCACCACTGTAAAGTCGGGCAAGTAGAGCGGAAGATTCTCCTTGCCTCTGCACTGACCCATGGCTGACACGATGAGCTTGCGATCCCTGACATCGGCCAGAGAGCTTTGGAAACTTACTGGCACAAAAGTGAGAAGCACAAAGAGAACATTCATGTTTCCTCTGCTAGAATATAATACTGAATGATGTGATGAATGAACAGAGAGCAAGTTAAGTATTGTGGACTGATCTCTGGACTAGATAGGATAATGAGAAGTGGAATCATTCATTCGGAATAGTCAAAAAATTCATTCATTCATTGGCAATACATGAAAATTAACCATTCAAGAGTATTTCTTTACAGTTCTGGTAAATAACAAAACAGCAAAATTCGCACATTCGTCATTCATTTATTTTACAACACTCTTAATTTCTTACAATCCCTAAAAACTTTGTACACATTGCAGCAGAAGATCTCTGAGCTTCAGCCTGAGACTCTGCTTTCCTCCGCACACAATGTGAGTCTGATTGTTGTTGATGTCTATCGTGGTGTCTTCGTTCGGCAGTCGAATCACCACTCCTGGTCCGTTCTGCTCCATCTTGATGTCCGTGATGCCGTCCTGCGTGAGCTTCTTCACGAACAGGTCAATGTCCAGGGCGCCCCATTCGTACTTCGAGGACTTGAGGGGAAAAGCCAGGCGTTCCTCGCTGTCGTCAATGCTCTTGATGTCGTGCAGGTTGTCCTTCACTTGGAGGATTCCCGTGATGCTGGCCACATTCATGCCCGGCTGCACCTCGTGCGGCACAATATTCTGCGCGATCTCTGGCATCAGGAAGACGCGATTGCGCTTGCGCTTCAGCGGAAGCTTCACCACTTCGCCGCGCTTGAAGGTGATGAGTTGCTTGTCCGGCAACTGATCAATCACGAGATCCACTTTGTGCGGCACCATCACCGGCGGCTGTGTGTAGCTCTCGGGAATGACGAGGCATCCTGGCTTCAGCTCTTTGATCAGCTTGTTGGCCTGCTGGAAGTTCAGTGATGTCTCGATGGGACAGTAGATTGCCTTCATGGCGAGCGGCTGAAATGGCGCCAAGGCTTGCAAGTAGGGAAAGTCCGGTTCCGTGAAGATGATGGTGTGGATGGGATTTGAGCCCCAGAGCTCAACGAAGTGCACAGCATCGCCGAAGCGAAGACTCGGATGGCCGCAGAACACCACGCAAGGCTGCCGGAAGTCTGTGCTGAAGCCGTCCGAGTAGATGTGCTTGAAGTGCTTCAGGCGGGCGTTCTTCACGAGCATGGCGTGAGGGAAAGGTTCGTCCGGGATGTAGACTTTGTGCTGCTTACCCGACGACAGCCACTCGGCCAGGATGTTGGAATAGGCCAGAGAGCTGTCCGCCACCGGCGAGATGAAGAACATGGGCACTTGCGACAGCCCAGCATTGTCGAGATTCGTCGACAGGCACTCGAAGAGGTCATAAACCACGCCGGAAGGATAGCAAGGGATCAGCACGGAGCCTCCGTTTCGCAGGGTGACAGCCACATTCATGCACAGCTCGCCGAGCATTCCGTCTGGGTTCACGTGGGGCGCCTGAGTGAGGCCCGTCATGATGATCACGTCGGCGTACTTGAGGGCGGACTGGTTGATGGGCCTCGGATGGGTGGTCAGAGTGGATGAGCCGCTGATGTAGGCCACCTTCTCATGGCCAGAACTCAAAATCCAATTGCTGGAGCCCAGACAGAAGCCCGAACTCACCGGAATCACCTGCAGTGCCCCATAAATGTCCAGTTTCTGGTCATAACCGGCGATTTGAACTCTCGCCAGACTGTTGTGGACAGCTTCCATGCTGAAGATGTGCTTCCAGCACTTTGGCTTGTAGGATTCCGATAGTGGCGGAGGCAAGGCGTGCAGAATGTCCTTCCACTGTGACGCCACCACCGCCTTGGGCGCCACTTCAATGTACTCCACGAGTTCCTCCAGGAAAAATCGTCCGATTTGCAGCGTCGGTTCCGTGGCATAAACTGTGCCATTGAAGCCCGTGCCTTCTGTGATGAAGGGCAGCGCCAGCATATTCATGTAGTTCGAGATGAGGATCACGTCGACTTCAGAGAAGTCCACAATCTTGTCCAGCGGCGGCGCAAACTCAGGCGTGGAGTCCACGAAGATCCGGCCGCAGCACTCCTTCAGCTCTCCGTCAATCTGGGCATCGTGGTCGCGCGGGATGAAGTTGGGCAGCGAGCTGAAGCGGGAGCTCTGCACCAGCGGCAGGGGAAGGAAGTTGAGCACAGTCTTGACGTTGAGACCGCAATCAAGCATTATCAGGAGCTCCTTGAAGCTGAGAATGCTGCACGGCTTCGCCGGGTCGCCGTTCAGGCAATACTGCAAAAAGTACAACATTTCACCATAAATCAATCAATTATTTGTGTGGAAGTTGAGTAATAGTTGATAAACTCACCAATTTCATGGCGAAATACTGATATTTCACAGTATTTTTAGTGGAAATACGAGGAAACTCTGAATTGTTGTTTGTTTTGATTTCACTCACTTCAACACTCTGACAATCGATGAAGGAACTCATCGATATATCGCTGGAAATTCTCGATATTTTTCAAATAATAAACTGTTAACCCATTAATGCTATGAATTTTCACTTGACTTAACAATTTAATGTAGTTGGATGTGATTAAATTAATTTATTTGATTTTGAAGTTAAACTAAACTTCTACTTTTGATTGACTTCTTCAATGGGTTAGAAGAAATGCAGGCTTTCTTGAAAGCGTTCTTCATAACTTATGCATAGTTTGATTATGAGCATTTATAATTTATAGATTTTACATCAATAAGCACTGAGAACATCACGATACTGTCTTTTACTCCAGTTATTTCTTGTCCATCTCAAGGAATGCACAAAGTACAGAATATTGACTTGAGTTTATAAAAGCTCTTGTGCTTAAATTCTTAATTTCACTGAATGCATTGTTATCAAGGTGTCTGACTAGATCGATTTATCTCTGGGAGACTCGAGGAGGGTGTTTGAGAGTGTGTCAAAGACATGGCAATAATAATAAGTGAAGAGTTGCAGCACAGAATCATACATCATTAAGCACGAGAGCAACAATGAAGAAAAATGATCATTTTCCTGTCTTGACAGCCTGAAGAACAATTTGCATAACGAATTAGACATCAATCCATCAAAATGACAAATTTCATCATAAGAAATTCGAAATTTCACCCACAATGAGCAGCTACATAAGCAGCAGGAGTCCTCTCGTGTTTGCTCAATGTGCTGCAAAATGTGCCAGAGAAAGTGCCGTGCTGTTCTTATCCTCGTGTGTTTCGTCACTTTCGGCCAATGTGCCTTCAATCATGTGGACATAATTCAGACCTTTGCCGTGCGACACAAGCAAATGAGTGCCGTGAATTTGCTGCTCTGCAAGAACGCCCATCTCGTGGAGACGTCAAGGAGGTTGATGGATTCGGGCGCGCAGGTGAAGGCGCTCAGAGTGAAGGACATCAGCATTGAGCGGGAAATGCATGACACTTTCACCTGCTCAGAGTTCCGCAAGATTATTGTGCTGGACCTCGAGTGTGCGGCGAGTGAGAGTCTCTTGCTTGGTCTGATGAATCGAACACTCTTTTCGGCCTGCAATCACTGGCTTTTGCTGGAGAATCTGCGTTCTGTGCCGTTCAACGTCTTCGAGCAGCTTCCCATCAGTCTCAGCACAGAAGTGACTTTGGCCACTCGAGATCCCAAGATGGGCTTCGGAAATGCATCTTCGCCAAGTGGAATTTATTGGCTCTATGATATCTGGTAAGACGCCTAAATTGAATTCAAATTTCTCTGTGGGATTTTCATCTTATTCCGGTTAGTGTTGCTGCAATGTAACAGCATAAGAGATCCAACGCAGTGACTACAATTGCATAAAGCCCATAAAGCAATTCAAAGAGTGTGGTTTTCTTAGCCGACAAATGGGGTTGAGTCTCGGGGCGGCAATTTGTAATGATGCGCTGTGTTACTTTGAGAAATTATCAGCTAAACTCACCCATTTCTTCCTTCACAAAAAGCTCCTTCGACATAAATAATTGTAGAAGTCATAAAGCCGTGAAAAATACATGACTGCAACTGCTTGGAAAAATTTCACTCGTCGTGGAACAGCTGCCGTCAACTTGGCTTTCGTGTCTCTTCACGAGTGGAGAGTGTTATGAAATATTTGCTGCCATATTTTATTTCATTATTTCACTCGGTGCCCTCCTTCCCACGCTTCCTTTTGTGTAATGATTACAACGTGATTTTCAGGAGCACTGGAATTTCCCTCGGGGGCGCTCTGAATGTGACGTTTATTGGAAAGTATGAGCCACAAGTCAATGGCGGAAATTTTCAACTTGCCACTCACGAAACAACCCTGATGCGCCGTCACAATCTCCAAGGTCTCGCCCTGCGCTGCATGCTTGTCGTAAGTCTCCCTGTGATTGAGGGTTAAGTGGTGGATTAATCTATTTTGTTCATGCGAAAAGCTTCCCACCAAACTCGAGGAGCCTTTCGATCAGTTCTTGGCCAGCAGGAAGAATCCAGAGGTGGATTCGCTGCATCGCTTCAACTATGTTGTTCACACTTTTGTTCGGGACATGTTCAATTTCACGTAAGTATCTATCAGTGGTCTGGGAACAGCTCCTGCTCATTTCTGCTCGCTAGGATGCTGATGCGCCACGCTCAGTCCTGGGGATACATGAAAAATGGGACAATTACCGAAGGCATGATTGGGTATTTGGTTCGCGGTCAGGCCGAAATAGGCGGATCGCCAGGATTCTTTCGAATTGAGCGACACGAGAGGATTGATTACACCGTTGGAACTTGGATTGAGAGGTGAAAAATTCAATAAAACAAATTAGTCACAACGCAGGGATGTTAATCCTTACTCTTCATCTCTCAGGCCCTGCTTCATCTTTCGCCATCCAGACACCGCGGGTCTCGTGAGGAATGTGTTTCTCATTCCCTTCACCAACTACGTGTGGATATGCATATTGGTTGTGGGATTTTTCTGCTTAATTGTAACGAGTGAAGTAATTTCCGTGGAGAGAATAGTCATTTCGTCAAATACAGGTCAACATTGCACAGCAATGAATAAATTAGCAGCACTTACTATAAATTCTAGCACCACTCCTGCCGAGTGGGCACGATGGCGGAGAGTGTGTTTATTGAAATTGAAAACAAACAATTCCAGATGGTGTTAATGGAGCGGCTCGTCGTGGGAATTCATCTAGTGAAAGTGGGTGTATTGCATCAAATTTCATTTTTCGCAATGTCATTAAAAGTTTCGCCCAATACTGCTCCGGAAATAAATCAAAACTTTGCTGTAGCACGAGTGACGACACGAGAAGAAAGCCAAACAGTTATGACAAATTCAAAAAGGATAAAGCCGATGGCGCGGAAGGGCGCGCGAAGGAAAGTGACGCTCACGCCAGTGAGGGTGGCGACCTGCTGTTTCGCACCCCCGATCGCCTGCGGGCCTCTCGTCGTGCCACTCTGCAGAGATTTTATCGGCAGCCTGCGAGGGTGGAGGCCCCCATTGACGCCCAGTTGGGCGGCAAGGCGGTGACGATTGGCGCGAGGCCGAACATCGCTCGGCGTGTCAGCGGAAAGGAGCACAATGTGATTAAAATTCATAACAGCCACGCGGGCATTATTGAAAATTATGAGAAGGAAAAATCAGCGAGTCGCTCTCATCCTGTTGCTCAGGTCCAGCGTCCCTATTTGGCGGAATCCTACTCGCGAAGTGTCGTTCTCTTCATCCGCGCCATGAGCCAACAAGGTGATCACTTTGCTGAATGAATGGCTGCGCATTTATCACGATGAAGTACAATATTTGTTCTGCATTAATCAGTTTTATCATGATTATGTTTTCCCATTAAGCATTTCGCTTAGGATATTGTCATTGTTGGCGTGTTTAAATGTTTTCTTTAATTGTGCTTATTTGAAATGTGAAAATTAGTGTCATTTCAAGCAAACGAACTCATTCCAATCATCAATAGATATTATGCAAACTCTCCCAAAATTCCTTCAGTTTGAGAAGTTTTTCTACCTAAAAAGACAATTTATTTCAATTTACACACACGACAGAAGCAATGGCGATTTCATTGGGAGAAATATGAAGAGATGACCTGCGATGAAATGAAATTGTCTTGAAGCAATTTGAGCAAACAATCGATTCCAGTTGTCTGCAGATTGTGTTCTTTTTTCCACAGCCATTCGCCATTCATTTCAAGACCGAGGGTATTTGCACAATCCATCCAATAAAGCACAATGAGACAAATATTTTTCTACACCGCATTATTTGATCCTTTCTGCTCTTCTTTCCCACCCACACCTTCAGGTATTGAGGATGCAGAATCACCCACAAATATCTTCAGCGGTCGCCTCGTAATGCAGATTCTCGTGCTCTTTGGCTTCTTCATCTTTCAATTCTACTCAGCCAGCATTGTCGCGTCGCTGCTCATGGAGAAGCCAAAGACGATAAAGACTATAAGAAATCTAATGGATAGTTCACTGGAATTGGGAGTTGTGGATAATCCGTATAATCACGACTTCTTCGTGGTGAGTTGCATATTGGTGGACGTTGAAGAAAAGCCAATCACACTTCGTTATGCAATTTCGCATTCAATTGATTTTCCTCTCGAATAGCGAACAACTGATCAGGATGCTCTGGAGCTCTTCAGGACCCGCATTGAGTACAAGAAGAAGAACAACGAGATGGTGTATCAATGGTTCCACGCCGCGGATGGGCTGACGAGGACGAAGAAGGGCGGATTTGCTTTTCACGTTGACGTGGCGTCGGCGTACAAAATCATCCGGGAAACGTTCACGGAGAAGGAGATTTGTGAGCTGTCAGAGATTCAGCTCTTCCCACCTGGGCTCATGATGAGCATGGTCCAGAAGAACTCGCCGTATCGCAAGATGGTGACTTACGGGTTGCGCAAGGTGGTGGAAACGGGTCTGCTCTATCGTGAGAGGCACTTTTGGCACGCTCAGCAGCCCAAATGCACCCGCCAAATTCACTCTGCAGACCTCATTGTGGGACTGGATGCCCTCACTTCTGCCTTTGCACTTCTAATGTTTGGCATTGGACTGAGTATTTGTCTTCTCTGCATTGAGCTGACTTACAAGTGCTTGCAGAGTCGCTGGCGAAGGACGTAGAGCCACTCATGGAGAGCATTTCATTGATGAAAAGAGGGACAAAGTGAACAAATTCTTCGTTTATTTTACTCATATCATAATTTTTCTCTTATACAACGCAAGGGTATAACAGAAAAATAATTTTGTACACCACAAAATTGCATTATTCCCTTAAGACTAATATAAATTTCGTTTTTTTCTTCTTCTTCTGCCTCCTTTCTTTCTTCCTTAATGCATTTAGTAAGAGTCAAAGTTATTCCTCTTGTACTTACAATATGTATCTCATTTTTTTCTTTTGCCTTATCATACAAGATTTGATAGCACAGTATTATTTAATGACTAAAAACTTCTCCTCAATATCTTTATTCATATATATATATATAAACTCACTTAAAATTCGCAATGATTCTTTCAATTCCTCTAAATCGAATTCAATTCACTTTTCTTTTTTAGGATATAAAATAATATTTACACTTCAGATGAAAGAGTGAAATTAATCATTTTTAAGCTATTAACTACAAATTTTTTTAGCCTAAATTCAATCTCTCGTTTAGGTAAAGTTTTTTTTGCCACTAAGTTCGATTGGTTTTCAGAAATTTAAACTCTGGGTTTGTTTATATATATTGCAATAAGTTCATTTAATGTTTGAAACTGATGTTTGGTGTATTTGTATTTAACTAATTAAATCCACTCAACACGATGAATTGTCTTCTCTCTATCACTCGGATTTAATTAAAAATTCACATTTGAGACTTGATTAAATGAAGTGTAGAAGGAGGTGAAATGAACTTTTGAATGGTGTGAATTAAACAAGTTGAGGACTTGTGGAGTGAAGATGAAAATAAATGGCATTGGTTTTGGAATTTAGGGGCATTCAACGTTTGCTTCTCAAAAGTGTCTTCGTGTTGAATTCCATAGATTAAAGTTTTTCAAACACATCTCTGAAAAGAACATTTTCTTTTGACTTTGCTAAAAGCTTCTCATCAGCAATGATTAGCTCGTTTGGGTTGTTGTGAAACCTTGGAGAAATATTCAATGCAACAAAATGTTTTCTTTTATTCCCATAAATGAATAGTGAATTCAGGATTTCTCAGCGTTGCACACTGATCAAAATTCCGTGGTGACTTTGTGGATATTCTTATTAGCTTCGTTAAAGCTGACTTTTACATTGTTTTAGAAAGTTTCCACATTGACACCAAAGTTTACACATTGAGTAACTCTCATTGCTGTTAGAATCGAAACCACTCTGCTAATGTACTGACTTTAGAATCAACTTATGCAAACATTTCCTCACCAATTTCACTACTTTATGCATTTATATTTAAGAAAATTCTCTGTGAGTTGATATGTGTTTGAAATAAATAGATGGAAGCGCGCAAAATTGTTGTGATTCAATCATTATCTTGTACGTCAGACTAATTAAACCATGATTTATCTCAATAGTCAAATGCCCTGTCAACAAATACTTCGTATTTCCTTATCAATTGTGAGATATGTGTCAATTTATTCGGTATTAAGGGGGAAGGAAGATATGGTTCATAATTCCATCGAAGACATCTTTTTCTTTTGTATAATCATATCATGTAAATGCGATATTGTATAATCTCTGCATGGGCTGTTTTCTTTACAAAGCCTCCAATATTTGTTGGAATCCTCAGGAAGGGTGGAAATACAGACAGATGAAATTATCGATATGGAAAGTATCCTCTCTCTCTCTCACTATAAATTAGATAATACTGATTGGCTCCTAAGTTAATCCATATGTGCAGAAAACGACGCGGCCTCAACACTGACGGAAGAGTATCCGCGGCGGCAAGAGCGCGAGCAGGAGGAGTGATATGTGGCTGAGGACGTGGCTGGCCTGCGCCACGTGGTCGCTGGAGGACTGGCCGTACTCCTTGGGTGGGAAGTCCGTGTAGAAGACACTCTGGCCGATCGCGAGGGTGCCCTTGCGATCGCCCGTGGTCGCCGCGCCCGGAGAGCCATGGCCGTTGTCCGGCGTCCTCATGGAGAACACCACTTCCGGCTGGATGATCCGCGACGACTCGTTCCGCAGCGTGGGCGCTGGAATGGATGCGGAGAAGAGGACACATAAAAGTGTATTACGTATTTGTTTTAGCCAAAGTGGGAAGAAATCGAGCAACTCAATTTGTTGATGGAACTTCGATCCGCAAATCCAGCATCGGCGAGGGGGATAAAGTAAGAACCACGCCATCCAATTGAAATTCTCCACTCGTGGTGGATGGGTTAGTGGCGGTCGGGGGCTCTGAAATATGTGGGACTCATTGAATTTCGTTTAAAATTCACTTACTCTCTTTTGGCTCTGCCGACACCACGTGTGTTATTTGCTTTGATGGTGATGATGGTTGTGGTATTTCTATACAGTTGGCGGAAGGCGGGCGGAGAAGAAAGAAAAGGACGATGGAGAAAATAAATGATTGAGCACAGAATTCTATTTGCACAGAGAAGGACCTTCCAGACGCTTTGGTTGCCGCGTATTTCAAATTTTTTCCTAAATGAAAAGTCAATGCAAATAAAATCTCCAAAAGCAAAGGAGATTTTTTTGTCTTACTTAAAGTCTATTGTTAAATTAGAAATTGCCTCTGATTTTTAGCAATAATTGCGATTTAAACTGTTGTTGTTTCGCTTTTCTCAACTGTCGGCGCATTGTGCAAAAATTTGTATTCATTCCTGAATGTAAATGCAAATCTGTGCTGGAGCAACATCTGGAACAGTTCTCCTTGCCTGTGGCCAAAGTAGGTCCTCGGCATTTTGCGAAATAGAATAGATAAGTGTATTTTTATAGTAATGGGGAGAGGAAGTGGTTTGAATTACCATAAACTCGTATTGATCCCTCAGTTTCGCCCAGTGAGTTCTTCGATATGCATCTATAATTGCCAAAATCACCATTCTGGAGATTCTTGATTGTCAGCTTCATGTGCGCCCGATACGAGTTCTCCGTGTAATCGATGAGGTACTTTTTGCTGGGCAGCACCATTACAGAATTGTAGACCCAGTAGATAATGGCACGTGGATGGGCTTCCGTGTGGCAATCAATGGTGACATCCGTTCCTGCCGGCGCCCCGACCAGTTGATTGGGCACCCAGATCATCGGCGAGACTGCATTAGTGACAGAAAAGAGACACACACGCCGCACAGCCCCATTATTATCATTGGCAGTGATGTGGTTGGAGTCAAATAGCCAAATAAATATCATACTGGGTGCATGTGACAAATGATAGGTACTTAGGAGACCATTTTGATTGCAATCAATGTTCCATGGAAATCGATTATGTGCTCACTTTAAATTTCTTTTTTTTCCATCACAGCATTTTCGATATGCACAGAGTCTATTTCACATATAAATTCATTATTGTATGACAAATCAAACTGCCAAAATGTTGATTCCCACATTGATTTCCTCTCTGCCATTTGAACATTCACTGCACTGGGTAATTATCTATGCAATTTGGAATTTTCATGGCTGTGATATTGAATATTTATTTTGGGGGCAAAATAAGCACATGCATTCTATGTTATTCCGAAAATTGTGTACCTATTATAATATAGACAATATAATTTAATCTGTCTGCAGGCAAAATCATCTAGCAATGGAAGTTTATTCAAATCATGACATCAAATTACAACCAAGGAAAATATAGTCGAATAAAGCTAGAAGAATTTCAGCCATCATTAAATAGTGGTGAAAACAAGGGGAAAGTCACTCGCAATTTGAGACTATTAACTAAGTGATTATTCAGTTATTTCCTGATTTTTCGTGAATTTTATTAAAATTTTAAGAAATATATTTTATTTTGGCTATATTATTGAATTAAAAACTTTGGTAGAAAAGAGAAAAGTCACAAATTTGCCACCAATCGGACTTTTTCTACGCGAAAAGTTTTATTATTACACCAAAAGTCCTAAAGTGTGAAAATGCGTGAGAAGAGAGAGAAAATTATGCAAAAAATGCTATATTATTAGCGTCCCTCACGCCAACTTTTCTGCCCTCTGGCGGCGATATGTGGAGAAAATAATCAAATATTCAAATTTCAATGAAATATTTAAATATAACTTGACTTATTTCAATATTTGGCCCGAAAATATTCAGTTTTTAATTATTTTGCAATTTTACTTGGAATGCAATCATTTAATGTATGGAAATGTAAGGAATGTAAGATTCCTCCAAAATCACCTCGTGACTTGCCCCTTGGGTGAAAAGGAGGGCTTCATTATGTGTCTATTAGCTGGTGAGGCTCTACTTGAGTGTTTTCACTCGGCGTGCAGGGCTTTTGGGGCAACATGAGACTCACACTCGACATCCAATATAATCCTCTTGGACACGGAAGGCGGAACACCGTTGGTGGCGATGCAGAGGTAGGCCCCCATTTCGTTTCGGCTCACTTTAATGAGCTGCAATTGCTCCCCGTCGTAAACCATGACCTTCTTCTTGCGCTCCACCGTGATCGATTGACCATCCTCCCGGCGCCAGATGATTTTGGGCGTGGGAAAGCCGTCGGCGCGACATGTCATGTTGATGCTCTGATTTTCACGTACCGCCACCGACGAGGGGGTGCTCTCGATGTCGAGGATATTTGGTGGGACTGTCAACGATAGTGACACACACACACACACAATTGACATGGGAAATTCATTTTGACGCCACACACCCCCACGAAAAGCGCCCACAAGACTCACCCACAACTTGGAGATATCCCACTTGACTTATCATGGGGTTCGTGTTCACTTGACACATGTAATAACCACGATCATCCTGTTGCGCCTGGCTCACATGGAGCAGCCATGTATTGGCGTTGTCGTATGTGATGCTATAGCGGGGGATCCGGGAAATCACGTGACGGTGAATTGTCAGTATCATTTGCCTGTCAATGTGGATCCACGCAACCTGAAAGCACATTAAGCGTCAAACTATCAGTTTCAACTGTGCAAGACACCATCACAGGGTTTGCACTTCCCACTCAGACAGATAGCTTTGGACAAGAACATGTCTGAGACGTCAATCATGCAATTCAGAAGACATAACAACTGTTTTCATATGCAATTTTGCAGAAATCTCAAGTCTCGAAAGTCTCATATTCAGCGGTTTTATAGATTACAGTTTATGTAGCCAAGTTAAGACATCAATTTCGCAGTTTTTGGCTAATTTACATCCGGATGCAAAGAAGCAAAATGACTTTTATTTTTCATCAAAAACCCTGTGAAGATCAGAAGGAACATCACAAGACATTTGCTGTCTTTAATAACTTATTTAACAACAGTGGAAAGTCTGTCCAATAAATATATAAAACCAGTTCAGAAAGAGTGAACAGAATGTTCATTTTCCCAAAGAAAATTAATTCTATGGAAATGATTAAAAGTCCTTTCAATAAGCGAATGGTTATTTACTGAATAATAGATGAAGAGCCGAAATTAAGACCCGCTGTTAGTGTTAATGTCTCTCTTGTATTGATTGTAAAATTAGCACAATAATGACAGTGCGGGTGAATATTATTGTGGCTGAACCGAAATGGACACTTGGGAATTCATTGAGAAAAGAAGCCGATAAAACTAATCAAGTGAAAGATGTTCTTATATACGAGGACACGTTAAGGAAATGTTTTACTTATTGATTGGATATTGTTATTCGATTAGGCACGAGAGAAGCTGAGAAGTGAGATGGAAATACTTATGGAATTGCCAGCACAACTTCCGACCCATCTGCTCGGATATTATTGGTATGTGTGTATGAATGAGAATAGAAAATGAGGAAATTTATGATTCGTTTGTGGAAGACAGGAACGACAGCGGATGTAGTATTGAGTATTCTGTGTGAGTCAGATCATTTCCTCAAGTTGTGGCCCAAAAATAGGATATGTAAGTCACGATGGATAATAGTGAAGTACCCCATAATAGCTTCTGTACTAATTTATCTTATTGATTCTGGGTGTAATCTAGAGTCCGCGAGGGACTTGGGCGCCCCAAACACGAGGAGTCTCTCATCATCTGTGCCGCATTCAGATATTATATCAGGTCATGGGTTCATACAACGGCACAGTAAAACTAACTAATTTATATGGCATTGGAAACTTCTGTACATTTGGCCACAAAATGTTTTCCCATTTCCCAATGCCCTCCGCTTTGGGGGGACGCGCTGGGGGAAAGATTCAGACAACTTAACTTGACCATTGGCCGACTCCTCATGGTCCATTTATCTATGTAATATACATCAGTCGTGCACGGGGAGAACTTAAAGCTCCGTATCATATGAGGAAAGATGTGGAAGTGAACTATAATATTTGCCAATGTGAGCACGGACTTTCTCTTAGCTTCGAACGAGCTTTAACAAGGATATTGCACAGCGAGCTCTGGTCCAAGGGGGAGATAATACAGGCAGAAGTACTTCAGAAGTGGAAGTGTGAAAAGTGTGTGAAAAACCTACAATATTCCTTTACTGTGTACTTCTTTTACTGACTAATTGTCCAGATTTTTTGGATTTCCATTGATTTTCACCCAAAAACAAACATATAATAATTTTTTGAGGTTATGTAACGAATCAAGGAGAGATTTAGTGAATAATTCACATTCTAGCACATAAATCAAGACAAAAATTCAACATTAAATTAAGCATTTGGAAGCAATTAACAGTGTTTTTTTTTTATCCTTTGCTGCCAAGAAATATTGAAAATTGTACTACAACTGAACATAACCTCAAAAAATGTCATTTAGACTTGGAAAATGCGCTTTAAGAAATTCTTCTGGATGATTTTGAGTCTGAATCAGCAATTTTAATATCATCGGCAAATCATTAAGAGATGATTTTGTGATCTAGAATGCTTCCAAACAGAGTTTTTGAAGATCTCTTAGTTATATTTTTGAGGTTATGGTCGAAAAAGATGTCCAAAAACAGCGGTTTTAAGTCGATTCTTACAGAATATCGGATGAAAACTTAAGAGAATAATTATAATTTGGGAATTAATGTGGAAACAGACTACAAATTTCATGTTCTAGAAGGGTCCGGCAAATTTGTGATGTACAGATTTGAGACTTATTATCTCCCCCTTGCTCTGGCCCACAGAGTTTATTGAACATGGCCGATAGCACGTTGGGTTTAACGGAAGAGCTTAGTTTGTGTACTCGCAATTTAACAATGCAAAGTTCCGTCTGAAACTTTTCATTTCAGACGATAGACAACAGCTCATGATTTGGCAATTAATTTCTCCCCAAACTTACCCCAAAATTCATACTATATAATCCACATTCCACTCGGCATCTAATATTTCACAGTCAAAAGCAATATTTGTTCACTCTCCTCTTCAAGGTGTATATGCGTGCTCTAATAGATGTTCCGCTGACATTGCAAAATTTCATGTAAGTCTCGCATTACAACACCTTCCAATTTACACTTTAATTATTCTGTACATGCACGAAACATCTCAATGAGTTGTATGAGTTATTAAATCATACCGAGTCACCGCAGCAATGCCTGTTTCTGCCATACGAAGAAATACTTTAAGGAGTTTCATAGTGAGGAGAGTCTCTTCCCAGTGACGATTTGAAAAGTTGACAATTCATCAAATTCACATGGGAGTTGTTCCCCTTTTAAGCTTTCAACTTGTATAGGGTTATTCCACTCCATGAATTGAGATAAGCTATTTGGTATTCACCGGCCAATCGTCCAGAAAATCGGTCCTTCTTATATTTTATGTACACAAAGGATTATATAGCCAATGATTGTGTGCGGAGAGTTATTGCACTTTTACTATGTGGAGCACTCAATGGATATCTTCCGTGTATTTCAAGAGGTGCTCTTTCCACACGAAGTTATGCAACAATTATACCAACTTTAATGGAATTTCTGCATTGTTTTCTCATCTGTCTTCTGGGAAAGTCTTTGAATACTATATAATTTCTGTCCCGGAGTGACTGCAATCATTCAAAATTTCAGCCGCAAGCTGCAAAATTTCAAAATTACTGCCATGACCTCATATTTCTGAATTACTGGAAGAATAGCAATTCAAAATTCAGCAAGATTTAGATGTTTATTCCACTAACAATAAACGGAAAACCCGTGACAGCAGATTGAGATTGATTTTCTGCCCTCCACTCATAAATAAACTGGGTTCAATATTTTTTACCCCGCGAAATAACTACTCCTCGTCACAGACATCTTATAAGTCAAGCGGCAATTTACATAAAATGTTACAGCGTTATTTCAGGAAGCATAATCTTATTTATTCATGTACATGTTGAAGTAACTTTTCAGCATTTGTGTATATGTGGTTTGATGTAAAAGAAGTTCTTTGATTTTTCTTCCGCCAAAGAAAACTTTCTCTCTGTGGGCAATTTTACATTTATGTGTGGCCCCGCTAAGAGGATGGAAAGGACTTAAAAGTTGCTCAATTGCGTAATGGCATGATATTAAAATAATTTCTAATCTCCTGGTATATTTCGTTTCTGTATGCAAGTGGCTCCTTCGGTGCCGCCTTTTTTGTATTCCCACGTGCAACAGCCACGACGCCCGGGAGGAATGTGTAATCCCATTCCCCAGTCGCCTTTATGTGAGCAATAAATATCGGAAAAAAGCAGTCAAGTGTATCCTTTCCCCGTGCCATATACGCACATATGTACAAGTGGGCCTGGGGATCCTGCGGCGGCGATGCAGGGTGGAAGGGGTTGCGAAGGAAGTCGGTTGACGGTGTATATGAATAATTTAATGGACAAGAAAAGCGCTGGTTGTAGTTTACCCAGCAGCAACATAAATTCTGAAACTTTAGACACTGACACACACTCTCTCGCTCTCCGGCGCCTCCCGCTCCTCATCCTTCCGCCAAACACCCAAAGAAGACACATCCCGAGAAGAAGAAGAGAATATGGGCGAGAACAAAGTGCACACAATATTTCCTTATTTACATGTGCGCTCATCAATAAATAATAGGTGAACTGATATTATTCAAAAAAAAAGGAGCGAAGGAGAAGAAAAAAACCGATGAGAGAAGCGAAATGACAAGAACGAACTAACATCAAAAGACAAAGCTTTCGATCTTTCCGCCTTCGTTTCGTATGCAGTTCAATAAACTATAGGCTCTTTATGGCATGAGAGATGAAGCTCATGCATACAGTATCAATAGAAAGTACTGCGAAGCTGAGCCAAATCAAAGTGATGAGGAAAAGTATATATTCTTTGCGAATTCAGAATGTTTTTCGCATAAATTCGCAGTGAAAATTGACAAAATGCTAACAAGAAATACTTTTTTAACAATTGAAAAGTTATACAAAATTCAAACAAGAAGTTTGGTGAATTTTTCGAAGATGTGTGAACATGAAAGCTTTTTCATTATGTATATTCACAATGAACTATATATTCCAAGGGGTAGATATTATGTTCGGAAGTGGTGTACAGTTTTCTGTTTTAACAAATTGAAGCATTTTGCTTACAAAGAATAATTTTATTGCTTTTCTAGGTTATGTGATTGATTTAAAACTGATTTTCAAGATTAATTAACCTTCAAAATCATCAAAATTGTGTTTGTCTGGAAATATTTCTCTTTTTCTCGGCACAGTTGAGCATTTTTATTCGAAAAAGCTAATCAAATAAGTCAAATTTCAATAGAAGGAAGTTAAAAATCAAATCATAACCTCAAAAATATCATTGCTCATTTATTTCCGCTGTTTCTGCTTTAAAGTGGCAAATTCAAGTTAATCATCCAGGAAAAAACATTGAAAAATGCACTATATTAATTTCTAGTCTTGAAAGGATTTAAATTAGTTCAAAAAGGATTTTTTAAACAAGATTCATAACCTCACAATTTGATTGGATTGTGATAAGTCAGAATTGAGTGTGAGAAACAGTTGAAGGAGTCTAAAAAGTGATGGAAAATGCCTTTCGAAACGTGTTAAAGATTCTGC